GCCCCCCCCCCCTATGTACGCCACTGATGATGAGGAGAAGAATGGGTAGAATAAGGAGGATGAGGAGACGGATGAGTAGAATAAGGAGGATGAGGATACGGATGAGTAGAATAAGGAGGATGAGTAAGTACAAAGATAGTTTGTAAGATAGAAATATATTGCTCAATATTTTCAGTTAGGGCCCAACTTCTGCCCAATATAGTTGACGGAGACACACGGAGTCTGAACTAGACTCATCCCACCAGTATATACAGAGATACAGGGATACAGATTTATCTAAACCTTCGCCAGGGTCTCCAGGATACACTTCAAGGCATAAATGTCTGATCTACTTTTAAAAAGAGGTTAAACAAAGTGATTTGGGGCTCAGTTGGGGTGCTTGAAGATTTCTTACTCCGGGTCCAGGATATACACACAGACAGAGGATAGAAGCCTTATTCATTCATTCTATCCAGGATAGATAGATAGACAGACAGATATATAGATAGATAGATAGATAGATAGATAGATAGATAGATAGATAGATAGATAGATAGATAGATAGATAGATAGATAGATAGATAGAGAGAGAGATAGATAGATAGATAGATAGATAGATAGATAGATAAGTTCATTGCGTACACAAATAATAAATTATTGCGTATTTTACTTTATCTAACAAGTATCTACGCATATGGTTATCAGTGACATTTAGCATAATGTTAGCAAGAACATCAGAAAAATTTGGTTTCTGGCTTTATAGTAACTTTGTATCTATCAATCTTGTTTGTCTATTTGTTTTTAATTCCGATCATCACTCATGAGCCCCTTGACCATGGGGATGATAGTATCCTACCTGTGGGCTCAGTTAGGTGTACTGTACACTTACAACTGTTTACTATAAATGATATACTGTAGGTTAGGCCAGAATCTCCATATAATACAGGGTGTCTTACGAAACATGACATTTAATAAATAGCTATTTTTAGTTAAACAAATCTTTTGCTCAATTATATTTTACTTTGAAATCAATTTGATATAATATGACTCCCATATAATATTTTTATTGATCTTTGGTATCACACAACTTAACAAGTTAGGTAAAAAGACATTCTAAACTATTCACCAACTGTCATGTTTCGTGGGACACCCTGTAAACAAATATGCAGTACGCTCTCGGTATAGTTCCCGGCCATACAATTAGTAAAGGATTAGCGTACATCATCACTCTATACAATATGACCTCGTTGCCCTTGACTGATTTGCACCAAATTTGGAACCAAGGGAATTTCTTAATTTTCTTTACAAATTTCAAGTTGAGTGGGTCAACTTTTTAAGAAAAAACTCCATGCAAAACTAGGTTTCCAAACTAGATGTCCTGTATATTATAAACTAGGTTTCCAAACTAGTTGTCCTGTATATTATAAACTAGGTTTCCAAGCTAGTTGTCCTGTATGTTATAAATTAGGTTTCCAGGCTAGTTGTCCTGTAAATTATAAACTGGGTTTCCAAACTAGTTGTCCTGTATATTATAAACTAGGTTTCCAAGCTAGTTGTCCTGTATATTATAAACTAGGTTTCCAAGCTAGTTGTCCTGTATATTATAAAATAGGTTTCCAAACTAGATGTCCTGTATATTATGAACTAGGTTTCCAAACTAGGTTTCCAAACTAGATGTCCTGTATATTATAAACTAGGTTTCCAAACTAGTTGGTTGTCCTGTATATTATAAACTAGGTTTCCAAATTAGTTGTCCTGTATATTATAAACTAGGTTTCCAAACTAGTTGTCCTGTATAATAGTTTCCTATGACCAGAATATTTCATTGATTTTTTTTTGTGAAAGATGGATCCCATGTCAGTTTCGACATCCGTCTTGTGTTTATTTTCCGCCAAAGACAGTACACTGCAGTACAAAAAATGCACACACCTCTGAAATAACATTCTTTACACTAGTACATTGGTTTGACCCAATTTGACCGTCTTTACTTGTTTAAAAAACTTTTATTTCAATACAGGGTGTATACAATTATGTTTTTAATACTGGGCGTTACATAATTTTCTTCTCTAGGACCATGCCTCTTGCTACCAAGGTTCGATGGAAACCACTCTTGGTTCTCTTGTCCTGTATATTATAAACTAGGTTTCCAAGCTAGTTGTCCTGTATATTATAAACTAGGTTTCCAAGCTAGTTGTCCTGTATATTATAAACTAGGTTTCCAAACTAGTTGTCCTGTATATTATAAAAGGTTTATGACATTATGTAAATAAATATTTTTTGATAATTCAATTTAGTAGTTTTGAGTAGAATGGTTTGGATAAATCAGTTTATTAAATGGTTAGGGTTTAAATAAACCCTGAGACAATTCATCAACACGATCCTGTTCCAGAACTTAAACTTTCCTTGTAGTGAGAGGTGATTATTATTATTATTATTATTATTATTATTATTATTATTATTATTATTATTATTATTATCATTATTATTATTATTATTACTATTATTGATGTTATGAAGTCTGTTTTCTCCCTGAAAAGTATAAAAAATCTGTATGCGGCCTTGATGCTCGTAACATCCAATAGATGATTCTCAGGAAAATTTCCAATTATATGATTTAATAATTTCAAACTAATTTTTTGTCTTCCGTGTTTAAAATCAGTTTTATGTCTTAATTTTGGCTCTTTTTTAAATAGACTTTACAATTTTTAACAATTCCTATTTTAATGTTTCAGACGGACCGTTTGATATCCACATTGATATATTTTTATCTAACATTTCTGTGGCTTAAAACTTAAACAGTGTTCAGATTTAATTGCAACAAAACTAGGGAATTTAAACTTAATCCTATTCCAAGGAAAACAAGTAAAATGTAACAATCATTCCTTTTTTTAAACAAAAATAAACTCGGTGCAGTTTTCTCAAAATAGATTATGAATCAGAAAATTCAAATGTTTTGTAAGATTTTACTGCGTTGCGTATAAGTAGGAATTTTTCACATGACGCATTATGAAACATTTCGTCATGTGTCAATCCTAAAAATTTTCCCTCCGACAATATCGTAGAAAATATTTACTTTTGCATTTATAGATTCCATTTGTGGTTAAACAGTTTGCTTTGGCAAATTTAAAAATGTTATCAAATTATTCTTCAAAGAACAAGTTTATAGATTAATGTCAAATTATTTAAATTTGATAAAATTAGTCTTTTTTTAGATGTTTTTAAATTTAACCCACTTACCTTTTGATGGCATGCTTAGTTATACAAGTTTTAAAAAGTACTGTCGTGAATAGTCAAAGGAGTCTTTAACCAGAGGATGAGTAAAAAATGACGTAAAAAATTTAAATTTTTTCATTTTAAGGTTACCCAGGGAAATCCTAAAAAATGTGACAAAACTCCAGATGGGCAGGAGGCGTACAAAACTCCCGGAGATAATGGGTTCTCTGTGTCCGTGGCGGGTTCACCTTCTCTGTACAGGCCAGGACAGGTACTGTACCAACTTCTTGTACCGGAAGGTTGTTAAGCGAGTACTGTACCAACTTCTGTACAGTCCTTTTTGAGCAGGTACTGTACCAACCTCTTGTGCCATTCTGCTATTTAGCAGGTACTGTACCAACCTCTTGTACCAGTCTGCTATTTAGTAGGTGCTGTACAAACTTCTTGTACAAGTCTGTGATTAAACAGGTACTGTACAAACTTCTTGTACCAGTCTGTGATTAAACAGGTACTGTACAAACTTCTTGTACCAGTCTGTCATTAAACAGGTACTGTACAAACTTCTTGTACCAGTCTGTGATTAAACAGGTACTGTACAAACTTCTTGTACCAGTCTGTGATAAAACAGGTACTGTACAAACTTCTTGTACCAGTCTGTGATTAAACAGGTACTGTACCAAAACTTCTTGTACCAGTCTGTGATTAAACAGGGACTTTACCAGCTTCTTGTACCAGTCTGTGATAGAGCAGTTACTGTACCGACCTCTTTTCCGGTCTGTGATTGAGCGGTACTGTACCAGCTTCTTGTACCGGTCCCTGTGATTGAGCGGTACTGTACCGGCTTCTTGTACCTGTCCCTGTGATTGAGCAGGTACAAGAAGCCGGTACAATCCGTGATTGAAAATACACTGATACCAACTGATACCAACCGTCGTTCAGGTATTGTACCAACTTCTTAAACCTAACCGTTGTATCGTCACAGTAAGATATAAAAAAAATATTCATTACATCATATGATTCTCCTCTCTGATATAATTAATAACATTTTTGTAATGTTTAAATGGAATGTAAACGTAATTTCAAGTGACCCTCATTGAAAAAATGGAAATTTCTATTTACAGCGGTATTTACCCTTTAAACCTTTTTCTGTTAAACAATATGAACGGCAATGTTGTTTCGCTAATTATAAAAGTGTTTATATCTAAAAATTCCTATGTATAGGCTGATCCTGCAGTAGAAATACACAAGTCACTTGTGTAGAGAAACCACATTTGAAGTTAAAGACAGTAAAATATATTAAAAACTTGATCAGACAAACCTGTTGTGAATCAGGCATTGATATTATTGCATGAAGGGTCAAATGAAATATCGAGTTCAGTTCCTTAGAAGAAACAATAGTTATGTATATATATTGTTTATATCAGTTGAAAGATTAGTTAAACTTGTCAATATTCAATTTGCAGTTGTTTGAACTTGGCCTATTTATAGTTTTTACTCATGGGATGCTTACTCACCAGGGGGGGGGGGATTTACTTATGCTATTGTCGTCATAAAAAGGAACTGAACACATGCCACAAAATTAAGTTTTCTAATTCTTTTATCTTTGCATCCTGGTGATGTAAACCGATCATATTTCATATCTCAATAATTTAATTTAGTAGAATGTTTTCGTTTAAAACTTTATCAGGTTGCAAAAATAAGAAAAACAAAATATTTTGAGTCTTTTGGCAAGTATTCAATTTCTATACAAACATTGACTGTACAAAACTTCAATGAGTCCTGAAGTCATTTCAAAATAATAACACCACCCAAAATATTCATAATTATCACTTTTTGCGAACACGCTCTTTTAGATAAACTTCTCTAAAACTGTTCCATTTTATTTCTAGATTTTATCTTCAGGTTTATACAATTACGTTGAAAGGAACTCGACTTAACGATGGAGGGATCGAACCAACGAAAATCAAGTTTATTGGTGAGATAAAAACTTTTTATTCTTTTCAATTTGTTCTTCTGATAATCTTTATCGTTATATTTCTCCTTCTCTTATTTTACTTCAGATTGAAAACTAAATAAATTGGAAATCCTTGAAACTATTTCACATTTTTTATGGTTTTTGACCGTTAAGGGAAAAAGAACGATTTGTCGGGCCCAACATTTGTGTGGGACCTCACATGACCCCAAGGAAGATTTATGGATTTCGTAAATTTTAGAAAATCCACGAAAACAAAATTGCATAAATCCTCAAAATTGTGTATTATTGTTTCATCGAAGAGAAAATGCTGAAAGATTAAGCAAGAAACGAAAGTTATAATGGAAGATGGCGCAAAGCTCTCATAATAGCCTAGTGTTCTAGAAATTTTTTGCTTTTAGATTTTACATTGGTTGCTGAGAGTAATCTTCCCTCCACAGAGGTTGCAAACCTTGGAACATTTCAGCTAATGCCTGGAGATGCAATGTCAAAGTTCAGGTAGGTGTTTGTATCCAGGTATAGGTTCAGGTAGATGTTTGCATCCTGGTATTGATTTAGGTAAGTGTTTGTATCCAGGTATAGGTTTAGGTAGGTGTTTGTATCCAGGTATAGGTTCAGGTAGGTGTTTGCATCCTCGTATTGGTTTAGGTTAGTGTTTGTATCCAGGTAAAGGTTCATGTAGGTGTTTGTATCCAGGTATAGGTTCAGGTAGGTAATTGTATCCAGGTATAGGTTCTGGTAGGCAATTGTATCCAGGTATAGGTTCAGGTAGGTGTTTGTATCCTGGTATAGGTTTAGGTAGGTGTTTGTATCCAGGTATAGGTTCAGGTAGGTAATTGAATCCAGGTATAGGTTCAGGTAGGAGTTTGTATCCAGGTATAGGTAATTGTATCCAGGTATAGGTTCAAGTAGGTAATTGTATCCAGGTATAGGTTCAGGTAGGTGTTTGTATCCAGGTATAGGTTCAGGTAGGTGTTTGTACTCAGGTATAGGTTCAGGTTGGTGTTTGTATCCAGGTATAGGTTCAGGTAGGTTTTTGTATCCAGGTATAGATTCAGGAAGGTGTTTGTATCCAATTTTAGGTTCAGGTAGGTGTTTGTATTCAGGTATAGGTTTAAGTAGGTATTTGTATCCAGGTATAGGTTCAAGTAGGTGTTTATATCCAGGTATAGGTTCAGGTAGGTGTTGTATTTAGGTAGGTTTAAGTAGGTTTTTGTATCCGCATATAGGTTCATGAAACTGAAAGTTACTGAAGGTTTACACTATATATGGTTGTCAAAATATAAATGATCAAATTAACATAGATTTATCTGACCTTAATCAGCCAAACCTACACAGTTTATAAGTTTGTAAAACATGTAGGGCCATGGTGGCTTATAAAATAGAGAATATAAGTTGAATTTGAAATCTGATTTAGACATTTAGACTTACAGACGAGAACGTTGTTTTAAATCTTTTCTCAATCATTTAAAAACTGTGAATTTATATAAAAAAATTTAATTACATTTTTGGAATTTATTAGCTCAGTTGTAGACTACAAGAAAAGAAAGATTTTTTGGGATCCCCTTTAGACTTCTTTAAATTAACCTATGAATTTAATGCAAAATGAAATAGAAATATTTCATAACTGACTTTAACGTTTAAATAAAAAAAATTTCTTGAAATTTTAAGAAATATATCTAAGTTTTTTTATCGGCACATTAGATTGTTTATATAAGATTTTTAGAACACAAATTCTGAAACTGGAAAATCAAGATTTAAAATCAAATCTCAATGTTCATTTAAAGTTTGGAGAAATCCCTTGACAATTCTAAGAGAATTATCTCAAAGTCAATACCGCAGATTTTATTACTTTGGGCTGGTATCTGTATATCCTGCGCTTTGTATCCTGTATCCTATATTTTGTGTCTTGTATCATGTGTTTTGTATCCTGCATCCTGTATCCTGCATCCTATATCGCAATAGCTATAGCTTGTATCCTAATATCCTATATATTGTCTCTCCTATTATTCTATTAGTCTTATATCCCCTACAAAGTCCTTCCATATAAGTAGCTCTGTATGTAGGTTCTCCGAGCTAACTATTCCATCTAGAGTTAGATCTAGAGCTAGATATATATAAATCATGAAATACAAAAAAAATCAAAAAATTGTGAAATGCTTTATCAATGTGAACTCCTGATGTTTTTATGATAACTATCCTTTCTAATATATATACTATCCTACTATCCTTCATAATATATGTACTATCCTTTCTAATATATATACTATCCTACTATCCTTCATAATATGTGTACTATCCTTTCTCATATATATAATATCCTACTATCCTTCATAATATGTGTGGTATCCTTTCTAATATATATACTATCCTACTATCCTTCATAATATATATACTATACTTTCTAATATATATATACTCTCCTACTATCCTTCATAATATATGTGCTATCCTTTCTAATATATACTATCCTTTCTAATATTTATATACTATCCTTTCTAACATATACTATCCTTTCTAATATTTATCTACTATCCTTTAGAATATAAAATTTTATTCCATTAATTCCAGTCCTTTCATTACATTTATTTCATTATAGTCCTCTCATCCTAGACTTCCAGTTCTTTCCTTGCTTTTCATTTCATTCCTTTTCCGTGATTCCATTTCTTTCATTCCATGGTCCTTCGTCCTCTTATCTTCTTCCTCTTATCTTCTTCCTCTTATCTTTGTCCTCTTATCTTCGTCCACTTATCTTCGTCCTCTTATCTTCATCTTCTTATCTTCGTCCTCTTATCTTCTTCCTCTTATCTTCGTCCTGTTATCTTCGTCCTGTTATCTTCGTCCTGCTATCTTCGTCCACTTTTCTTCGTCCTCTTATCTTCGTCCTCTTATCTGCTTACTCTTATCTTCTTCCTCTTATCTTCGTCCTGTTATCTTCGTCCTCTTTTCTTCTTCCTCTTTTCTTCGTCCTCTTATCTTCTTCCTCCTTTCTTCTTCCTCTTATCTTCTTCCTCTTATCTTCGTCCTCTTATCTTCGTCCTCTTATCGGCGTCCTCTTATCTTCGTCCTCTAATCTTCGTCCTTCTTTTTGTCCTTGATAACAGGGGCAGGGTTTAGGACGAGAGGGGGGGGATATTTAAAACTTTAATCTTGAACTTGAAAATATTATCAAATATTATCTTTGATGCTGGAACCTTGGTTAGATTTAAAATATATATACACTCAGTACAGGGTGTCAAAAAAACGCTCTTTTAAACATTGTACGTAGCACTTCCATGGTTCAATTTTTAAAATTTTGGACATTTTTAAAATCTATGGAGTAATTTCGACCATGATTAGAGGAATGTAGCACAAAAGAAATAAGAACAGTTTATAATTTTACATTTTTGCTTGGTTGAACATTGCAATTGGACCATTCTAATAAGTTAACGAAAAATTATCATTGTAATCACTTTTTATTTCAATATAATTTTAGGGTTTACAATTACGCAAAAATGATATATTGATCATATAATGATAATCATAATGATAATTGACCTAAAGCATTATGTCTTGCATGGTGAATTTGCGCCCAACATAAAGTCATACAGATTGTGTGGCTAGCGATGGGCAATTGCTAGATTCGTTTTACAGAAACTTTTGATATTTTTAGATTATTAAAAGGTTTTACGACAATCTGAGAAGGGTCCAACGATTTAACATTGTATTCTGCAGAAGTTTGTTTTTATCAAACATGCAAATTTGTTATCCTAGGTGAAAATAAAAAGGCAAAAACGAAACTATCGTTTTTGGGTTCGTTTGTCATAAAACTTTTTAAAAGTTTCTGTAGAACGAATCTAGCTATTTCCCATCGCTATGTGTGACCCTTTCTTTGTGGTGCTCAAATGAAAGGAAATTTTTCTTCCTGGGTTGTAGACTAAGGTCTTGCCATTCTTCAATAATAGCTGTGCTTGTAGAACCTAATAAAATTCCAAAATACTAGATAATTCAAATTTATAAACTTAATTTAGCAAAAATCGCAAGTTTTGAAATATTCCTACATTTAAAATTTTATGCTTCGAGAATGTTCCACAAAGGAATTGAGTCTTTCTGACAAACACAAATTTCCTTATCCCTGTTTTTACTATGTGAAGATGTAGACCTTTGATATTTGCAAACTTTTTTAGTTGATCTTACAGAATTTATAGTTTGAAATATCTATGGTCTACAGCATTTTGTTTCAAAGATATAGAGATTAGAAAATCAAAGTTTGTTACAAAGACTCAATTCCTTTAAAAAATGTTCAAATTTTTTTTAAATTGATCCATGGTGAGTGCTAAACACCCTGTATACAGATTAGATATACAATATTAATCAATATTGTAGAACTAGGATGTTAGAACTAAACAGATTATTAAAATCTATATCTAAATTCAACCTTAAATAATTTTTACTTTTATACATTTCTTTTTTTTAAATATATTTTTATTCTTATTTTTTGAAAAGTTTCTATCTATCTATTTTTCAATCTATCTCTAGGTCTGTTTGCATAAGCAATAATATATAGTATGTTTATCTGTATAATTATTTTTTACGTCTAGTGTATGTATATATATGTGTATTGTATGAATTGTATAAGAATAATGAGAATAATGTGTGAAGACTATACAGGGTTGGTTGCTCACAGATATTGGATATTTACTTTTTTCTTCCTTCAGGGAAATATTTGGAAAATAATTACTCTCTTATAACACTTTTACTCATAACAAAATAGTGTTTTTGTTACCTCAATTTTTTCCGATTTCAGCTTGAACCAAACCGGTTTTTACTGTATCGCGAAGGACAAATCTGACTGTACTGTACTGTACTGTACTGTACTGTACTGTACTGTACTGTACTGTACCGTACAATGTACATATACCTAATTATAAAAGACCATGCATGACCCCATTAGCCTGGATCTAGTTTGAAGGATGGTTTGGACCGATCTAAATCATTTGGATATGATTATCACATGAACTTTCTTCCATCAACCCCACCCATCCTTTTAATCAATTTATCGCCTTTCTCTTAAAATCTACAGAACCCCAAAAATGTTTTTCAAAAACGCACAATTGTTTCTCATTCCCGGCAGTATATATATATATATAAGAAATTATACAATAAATCAACTCTTGAAAAAGAAATTTAAGAACCTTGCATCAACATATCTAAAATAACAAAAAATTTGTTTATGAAATTTTAGATTGCTTATTTGCGTAGTTTTAATTTTAAAATTCTTAGATGTCCAAGTTTTATTTTGCGGTTCATGGATTATTGGCAGAAAATACTGTTTGAATAGAAAATATATACTATTGCTAAATGATTTTGATGAAAACTTTTTTTAGTCATAAGTGCAGCCATGCAGTTAAAGCAACTTCAGCTATCCCTAAGGTAAAAAATTAATGATGAATGATGAATGATGAATGATGAATGATGAATGATGAATGATGAATGATGAATGATGAATGATGAATGATGAATGATGAATGATGAATGATGAATGATGAATGATGAATGATGAATGATGAATGATGAATGATGAACGATGAATGATGCCTTATGAATGATAAATGATAAATGTTGAATGATAAATGATGAATGATGAATGATAATGATGAATGATAATGATAAATGATAAATGATGAACGTGAATATGGAATGATGAATATCTCAGGATGAGGTCACTGTACTCTGGACTGCTCCTGAGCATGGTGACGGATGTATTCAACTCAAGGCTATGGTTGTAGAAAGAAAAGACCTCTGGTATATGGACGACGGCGGCCTAACGCACACATTCTGCGAGGATGACTCTCCAATGGGACAACCTCCTCTTGTAGAACCCTGCTGTGCCTGCCACGAGGCCAAATATGAGGTCATTTTCGAGGGTCTTTGGTCCAGACATACACACCCTAAGGACTATCCTATCGATGAGTGGAAAACACAGTTCTCCCATATGATCGGAGCCAGTCATAGTATAGATTATGATCTCTGGAAGTACAGTGAACCCTCCTCCCCTGCCCTCGCTCTACTGGCAGAGGAAGGTAAGACCAAGAAACTGGAGATCGATATGAAAAGGTTCAGTAAGAATATCCGGAGTGTGATAAAAGCACGCGGTCTTCAGCAACGATCAAACGTGGTCGGACGCACGTTTGCAGTTTTCCGAATGGATCCCACGAACCATCTCTTGTCTCTGGTTTCCAAGATGATCCCTAGTCCGGATTGGATTGTCGGAGTATCGATGGAGAATCTTTGTCTAGCCAATTGCTCCTGGGTTGACAGCAGGGTTGTGGATCTATATCCATGGGATGCCGGAGTACGGAGCGGGATGACGTATAACGATCCTGGAGATTACACCACGCCCAAGGAGAGTATTCACAGAATTACAGCTTGTAACCCAGACTCAGACGAGTCTCCGTTCTTTGATCCAAGCTGTGCTCCTCTCAAACCCGTAGCAAGATTACATATTCTCAAGCAGCGTGAGTACAAGAAGCAGTGTAGTGGGGGACAGGATCAAGGAATCCCTCTTAATCCATCCTGGGGTAATCCTAACACTCCCATTGGAAATAACGAGGACGTTTACTCCGGTACCGGGATCGGACCAGCGGAGGAGATCTCAACCGGAGAATCCTACGGAGATTACGGAAACTCCGTAACCTACAACGATGTTGGTTCCAGTAATACCAACTCCTACTCCGACAACTCCTACAGCTCTAGCTACGGATCCAACGGTGACCTCTGTCAGATGAAGGAATGGACCACCTGGAGCGAATGCAGCCAGACCTGTGGCATGGGTTCTCAGTCCAGAACCCGAGTTTACGTCAATCCTATCGGATCTAAGATTGCAAACTGTCCGGAGGAGAAACTTTTCTCTAAACGAACCTGTCAGAATAGATCTCCATGTCCATCTAGATCATACGGAGGAAACTACGATCCGTTCTTTGGTGACGACGAGTTAAGCCAGGCCGGAATCTCGTCCCCGTGGCACAGACGAGGGCTGTCGTCCGACAACCTAAAGAAGGACGAAACCCTAGATCTGAGTGCTAAGTCCTATATATATGATGGAAAGAAAAAGGTAAACTTCAAATTTGATAAAAAATAGCAAATTTTTTTTCTTCATTTTTTAGAGTGGGACAACCTCGTATACGTATGAATCCGTCCCTGATCCTGAACCTTACTCCGACCCCTACCATGATCCCTACAATAAACACTCCGGGTACGCTAAACAGAAAGGATATCCTCCCAAAACCAACAATCCTGGATCATCTAGATACAACCCTTATAAGGTATCTAACTTTAAAGGTCTAAAGGAATTGAGTCTTTGCCGCAAACTCAAATTTCTAATCCCAATATCTTTAACCCCAATGCTAGGAATTCTGTTAGATCGAATAATATAAGTTTGAAATACCATATTAGGTTCTAAAGAAATAAGGATTAGAAAGTTAAAGTTTGTTGCAAAAAATTCCTTTCGGATTTGAAGAAAAAGCAAACTAAGAAAACAAAACAAATGTTAATGATCAATTCAAGTTTTGCAGCTTTGTAAACTCAACTTATGCGCAGATTCCCGACTGCAGATTATCTAATTTAATTTCAAGATTTATCTTGTATAACCTTGACTGCATTGACATGTGAAGATTGCGGATTTTCATTTTGATACATATTTGACAAATATTCAAAATATTCATTTTCCTTACATATTTCCTGATTAGAGGGGGGGGGGGGGAGACCTTTGGACAACGGGTGTCAGGCCAGGGGGGGGGGGTTAAAGGGTTTTTAAACACACATGTTCCTCTAATATATGTCATTTATCATAAGTAACGGTATTAAAAGTGTAAATATTAGGATAAGATTTAGAATTTTCAAGTATTAAAAACATGATATTAATAATGTGTTATAATTTCTCCTTTATGTATCTTTACCATACAGTTTGTTTCCGCTTAGTAATTTTTGTTTAATCTATTTTGTTAAACATTTTTATAACATATAAACTTAATAACTTAAAAATTATTATTTTCAAAGATTTTTTTAACTTTTGGGGAGATTACATATATTAAGATGTGACTTTGAAGTACATAAAAATAGGATCGGATAAAAAAAATCAACTTTTAATATTAAAGAGGCAAAATCTCTGGTTTAATCTCTTTAATTTGCATTTAGATGAAATGACATAAGAACAGCCAATGTTCACAACCGACCTAGTTAATCTATATAATAGGAATATATTTAAAACATCTCTGTAAATTTATATCTTTCAAGATGAAAAATGTCGTCTTATGCGCAATCTATCTTTATTTATGCTGCATATGGTTTAAGGTTTTTTTCACAGCTCACTTTATCTTTACAAAATTGTTTTTAACAATGTTTGAATAAGAATGGTTGCTAACTAACTTTCTTTTTAAATAGTTTGAATTGAAACCCTGAAAATAAATTTGACAAAATATTTACTGCTGTTTGTTGGAGAAATGATGCTCCTTAACTCTATTCTGGTTCAGTAGTCGGATTTGGTTTCAATCGTAACTGAAGGTTCTAAGATTAATCAAGATAATTGAAGAAAAAAAATGTTGGAGAAAAAAATGTTGATTTTTTTTAGCCTATGTCACCCCTTGGCTACCCATGAGTTTCTTAAAAAAATGTTAGCTCATCCAACTCATCAAAATAACTTTTAGTTTTCAATTTTAGGATTTCCAAATAATGCTAGTTTTTTTAACAAAGACGATTGACGAACTCGAATTCGTCACTCAATTCCCAAGTTTATTGGGACACATGTATGATTAAAGGGACTGCAGTAAAGGAAAAGGGGCTATAGGCTGGCACAGTAATACATGATGGTTTCTAGACTTTAACTTAAATCCCAACATTAGTTCATATGTTTTATGATGTTTGACACCATTATTCCTCTAGTTAAATCCCAACATTAGTTCATATGTTTTATGATGTTTGACATCATTATTCCTCTACCAACATTAGTTCATATGTTTTATGATGTTTGACACCATTATTTAACTTAAATCCCAACATTAGTTCATATGTTTTATGATGTTTGACACCATTATTCCTCTAGTTAAAAACATTAGTTCATATGTTTTATGATGGTTGACACCATTATTCCTCTAGTTAAAAAGGAAATATATTAATGTCCATGGCTAACACCTAGGGGGGGGGGCACTGGGTAAAGTGCCCCTCTTTTTCCAGAAAAGAAGAGAAAGAAGATATTCCACTGCAGAAGCCTGAAAATCTCACGTTTTCTCGGCCTAAAGAAAAAGAATATTGTAGTTCAACCAATACCTTCACCCATACCGCGTAATCGCCCATTATTTGGGGGGGGGGAGAGTGTCGTATAAGAGGGGGGGGGTGGACTCATTCTATTGTAAATTCAATACCTTTGGTATTTCAAACTATGAAATCTGCTAAATCAAGAAGTCTAAATCAAAGGTTTACACCATAAGGATGCAAATACATAGAGATTCATTTTTAGCTTTTTGGAAGCAGATTGAAGTTTTGCAAAGAAATTTTCCTAATTACTTACAAAATGATTTGCACATTTTAAGTTTTTCTTAATTACGTATCAGGTTTTTAAAATTTTTGCACAAATTTTTGCACAAATTTTTGCACATTTGAAATGGCATGGTCGAGGGCTTTTTAAAAATGTATATTTCATTTTAAGACTAAAGACAAAATTTGTCAGGTGATTCTGCAACTGTAGAGTGACTAGTCCGATCATAACGGTACTAAACCTTTGTCTGATCAGGGATGAATGAGATATTTTTATTTGTCTAGCTAAACATCATCATTTTCAATTGTGGTTTCTGTATAAAGGTAGCCTGTGCAATTAAGACTAGCTATTTTTAGGTTTAAAGGATACAGTTGTAAATTAGGTATGAAAATGAACATATGTTAATGTATTATGTATAGTTTCATTTGAAAATACATCATCTGAGATGGAATTTAAAGAATTTAAGCCGCGGTTTAAATCCGCCAAAACCCGGTTTAAATCAAGCGCCGGTTTAAATCTTGAAACATTTGATACAATTTTAAGTGGAACCAACCATATTTAAACCGCGGCTTAAATTTAAACCGCCGCTCAAATTCATTAAATTCGGCCACTGTCCTTTTAATTCTAAATATGTCTCAATGTTTGTTTTGTAGGAGATGGGATTTTATGGATATACTTACGGGGGTCCTTCTACTCATGGTCTATACAGTAATCCTGCAGCTTATCAACCAATAACTCAAGATCTGAATATGCTTGGACAGCTACAGGTATAGGATCAAGATCAGGATCAAGATCAGGATCAAGATCAGGATCAAGATCAGGATCAAGATCAGGATCAAGATCAGGATCAAGATCAGGATCAAGATCAGGATCAAGATCAGGATCAAGATTATGTATATCTAGGGTGATTCTACAAGTAGCTCCTGTGAGACTGAGGAGTGGGGAGACTGGTCTGATTGTTCATCTGAATGTGGGGACGGAACCAGGTGAAAGAAATATTAAAAGTTATAAAAAAAACATTGAAAAAAATATTAAAAAAATATCCGGCCATATTATTTGTCTCGAACATTTAGTTTATATAAGCCTTTTTTATAGTATGGATGTAAAAAGGAGAATTTAAAAGATCCCGGTTAAAATATCCAAATGGGTAAAAATATCCAAATGGGTTAAAAAAGATATGTAAAGAAACTGTGAGTGCATGTAAATTAAACTTTATTTTAACAACTTTTGATAAAAATTGTAAAATATGGAAATGTTTACCGTCGTCTTCATTCATTCTTTTTGTCGTGGAATGTGGCTAGATATTTTGTAATTTGTAGTTTTTATAACTGTTTTCTGACAAATGTTTACGAGTCAAAACTTTTGAATTGTGAACACTGGGATTTAGTTATTTCCTCTGAGATAACCTGTGGTCGGAACATCTACCAGAGATAACTATAATTGATTAAGTAAATTGACATAGAAGTTATTAAAAGTTGCTACAGTGGATATCGGGATCAAGTGTTGTGAAGATTCGCGTTTTTTCAAACACAAAAAAATACTTTAAGGCACTATTATAGGAATAAAACAGCAAATAAAACTTAAAAAGCAACAATTTTTTCCCTGTTTAATGGTTATTACTAGAAAAGAAGAATAACCATGTGTTGCTAATAATATTAAGATACAAAAGTAAATAAATATTTCTAGGTCTCGTAAAAGATATTACAAGGATCAGGATACAGCAACCTGCTCCGAGGAACTTTATCAATCAGAGCTCTGTCATGAATCCTTCGGATGTGAGGAACCAACAGCTGACCTTCCTTCTCCACAGAGGAGAACCAGGTGAGAAACTAAAGGGACTGTTACGGGTAAATTCTAGGTACTCTCTATTCAAAGACAGACATGTACAGTGTACACCTTTACCTGATCTTCAATGAGGGAAAAGTTGTAGAACTTTTTTTATCAAGTGTCTTCCGCATAAGATTATACAGTTTAACGGGTTCCCTTGTGAATTGGAGATTCCGCTCTATAATCAGGGTTACTTGAAATTATGTCTGCAGTCCCATTATAGAATAGGGTTAAAAATATGGGTTTATACTTCAAAGTTATTGTAAAAAGACATTATAAAATTTGTCACAAGCTTTTCACAATAAAAGTAACTGAGCACTCGAGTTTTCTAATTCTTAAATCTTGACAACTTAATATTGCAAACCTTTGATATTTCAAAATTAGACTTTCGTATTTAACAGTATTCAGAGTTTTTATTATTAAGGGCCTGTGCGTGTAATTTGTCGACAAATATATAGGGTTAGAACATTAGAGTTGGGCTATGAATCTTGTGGTACTCAAGTCTCCAAAGCACTGTAAACTCTGGGACTTAAGACTTCCAAGCACTGTAAACTCCGGTACTCAAACATCCCAAGCACTGTAGACTTTGGTACTCAAGTCTCCCAAGCACTGTAAACTCCGGTACTTAAGTCTCTCAAGCACTTTAAACTCCGCTACTCAAGTCTTCCAAGAAATGTAAGCTCCGGTGCTCAAGTCTCCCAAGCACTGTCAACTCTGGTACTCAAGTCTCTCAAGCACTGTAAACTCCGCTACTCAAGTCTCCCAAGCACTGTAAACTCCAGTACTCAAGTCTCCCAAGCACTGTAAACTCCGGTACTCAAGTCTCCCAAGCACTGTAAACTCCGGTACTCAAGTCTCTCAAGAACTGTAAACTCCGCTACTCAAGTCTCCCAAGCACTGTAAACTCCGGTACTCAAGTCTCCCAAGCACTATAAACTCCGGTTCATTCCAAAAACCGGGCCAACTTTTCACCAGCAAATAGAAGCTGTACGGTACAATTACAGACTTTTTACCAGGACTGTACACTAAATAAATGATCCCCTTCTAGCGAAATTTATGTAAAGGATCAAACCAAATAGATTATCAAGTACAATAGGTGGCAATAGAGAAATGTTATAGAAATAGAGGTCGTTATTGATGGGACGCCAAATGGAGGTCGGATATATGTGTCAATATCAACACATCATTTATGGGGTAGCAAAAAAATTGAAGCATGTCTGATTAACTTAAAGTAATTGAATTAGAGGAAGAAAGTGGTATTTTCCCATATTTTCTGAATTCATGGAGGTCAAAATGGAGGTCAATGACCTCCGAGTTCAAATTTTCTTCATGATCCATGTAGATGTTCAAAATTAGAGGCTGCATGTAAAAGTTTAGCTTTCTATCTCAATTTTTAGTGTCGAATTGCCCCCCTCCTTATACGTCACAAGTGTCAAATATAACAAGGAAGAGAACATTTTCTCCCATTAGTTGACATGTTTTCCAAGATTAAATAAAAAAGTGTAAAAACAGAAAATAAAGAACTCAAAATTGCACTTATTTCACTGCAAATAAGTACTGTTTCACTACTATCTTTAATAATTTTGTCGGACACACAAAACTGTTGACACTTGTGACGTAAGAATACAGCTGTACTGGAAGGGTACAAATTCTACGTTGCCATCTATTGTGCTTGATAATCTATCTGGATCAAACTAATTCGGCACAGTAAAAGATTTATTTTCTTAATCTAGATATGAGAAGAAACAGTCCTATACCTCAGAGGATCCACAGTGCGGAGTAGCACAGTGGAGTGAGTGGAGTCCTTGCAGTGTTTCTTGTGGCCATGGATATAATATTAGGTAACAGGGATATAAATTAGGTAACATGGATATTCTATTAGGTAACATGGATATACTATTTGGTAAAATGGATATAATATTAGGTAACATGTATATAATATTAGGTAAAATGGTTTTACTATTTGGTAACATGGATATAATATTAGGTAACATAAGACATAATATTAGGTAACTTGGATATTCTATTAGGTAACATGGATATTCTATTAGGTAACATGGATATAATATTAGATAATATGGATATTTTTTGGTAACAGGGATATAATATTAGGTAACGTTAAGGCATAATATTAGGTAACTTGGATATTCTATTAGGTAACATGGATATAATATTAGGTAACATGGTTATACTATTTGGTAACAGGGATATAATACTAGGTAACATGGATATAATATTAGGTAACATGGATATAATATTAGGAAAAACGGTAATCTATATATATAAAGTTGTAATCTCTGTTTGTCCGTCAGTTTGTTTGTTTGTCCGATCATAACGCAGGAACCCCTGGACCGTTTTGCCTCAAATTTTGATTGGGGAACTCGGAAGACCCAAAGGAATTTTCTTAGTTTGGGTATTGAGATTCTAACATGAGTGGGTCGGTTTTAATAGCGAAAATTTATTTTCCCGGTAAAATCGTTCCAGTGCGGGTAAACGGCGGGAGTAATTTTAGCAACCTTGGCAGCGCTAGGTTCCCAAGCTAGTACATTATAAAACAATCATGAATTGATATCATGAATAAAGGATATTATTTGTTTATGCATTTTGTATAACATAGAAATTTATTTTTACCATTATATATATTCTTGTAATCCAATCCTTCTCTCATGAATACTTATCTTTATTTTATATATTCGGTTAGACATATTTAATATTGTATTACACATTATATTGGACATATTCTCTTCTCTTTTTATTATACCTTAACATATAGTTACTATTTATCTAATAACGAAATATATTGGAAATTCAGAGCTCTCAGTGCCTCCTACTAATTACTATTAATTTTTGCTAAACAAATTTTTGCGAACAAAATTTGACGGTTAAGGGAGTGATTAACCAGTACTGATGGGCTCAAAACCTTGGTCCGTTTTAAAACACTTAAAGTTTTTGCGAGGCTCTGCACAAGAATCTGTGTTGTTTTTTTTTATTTTGAAATTGCATGCTAGACAATTATTTTAATTATATTAAAGTTTGCTTTTATTTCATTATGCAAATTATTTAATTTTATTAATATCGTTTTTCATTTTTCGTATTACCAGGAGATGTAGTTATTTTTATAATAATTTTTTTTCAAAAATTAGCTTAAAAACTTTTATTTGAAGGAAAATCCAATTGATTAGTTCGTCTCGTGATATTTTGAAACGTGTGTTTGTCCTCTAACTTATCAATTATACAGAGTAAAAAGTAACGCTGTTTGAAAGGATCGATGAGGCCAAGGAGAATTGAATTCTCCTTGGATGAGGCTAAACATTCTAATCCTATTTGTTCATGCAAAGGCGCAATTAATAAATCTTATGTAATCCCCTTGTTTTATTAAACAATTGCTTTGGATGTTAAAAAAAATAAAGTTAATTGTTTATAGTCTCCACTTTCCCATCAAGCGATTTTGAAATTTTTATTATTTCTAGGAATTTTTTTTTATAAACATTTGTTTAGAACTCGGGTGTTTACACTCTCGTTTGTTCCTAACCGTGTTTGCGAGGGAGTGAGATTAACAGAGAAGAAGGATTGTCGTCTTCCAACCTGCTGGAACTCTAGGACCACGTTGGATTACTACGATGATGTGGCGCCAAGCTATGCTCTTCATGATTCGCTGGTAACCCATAGAAAATAGGAGCAAGATATTTGGTTGCTCCAAACTATTCATGAATAATAGAGCTTATCATTTAAAATCACAAACCTGTTCTAACTTTAAAAATAAAGGAGCTTATCGATTAAAATCGAAAGCCTGTTCTAACTTAAAAAATAATGGAACTTATCAATTAAGATCGAAAGCCTGTTCTAACTTAAAAAATAATGGAGCTTATCAATTAAAATCGTTAAACTGCGCTAATTGTTATAATAATGAAGCTACAGAGCGTTCCATATCATATCGAAATATCACCAAGCTTTAAAGCCCAAATACGCACATAATACTCTAAAGAAACTAGTATTTTCTGCATGCTAATTTTTTTTTAGACTTATACAATTTTTTAAAATAATGAAATCTTTTTAAATCTTTTGATTTTTACCGGAAATCGCAATTTAGAGCTATAAACGATCTAATATGATGTGGCACACCTTATTTTAGATAAATACAGTTTATTGCTAAAATACATTGTATCTGTCTGTGTACAGAACAAGTTTACAATTACAATTGATGATTATTTTAACAGTACAAGTATAAAGCAATTAGGTGGAAAATAGTGCTTGGCTGTTTTGATTATTTTTTCCACCTAATTTCAAAAATAATGACAACAAATATTTCAATTAGATAGATTTGAGGAGAAGTATTATTTTGGAATGAAAAGTGTATTTCATCTCTTTGTAGAAACATGAATGAGCTCTGAGTCCTGATATCACAACTTTTAAACCATGAAAAGAATTTCTAGTACAGTGCTCGGGTTTATATCAATACAATTGAGACGACTTTTTAAATTTTTGATTTATAAAAAGCTTTTATCAAATTACAGGTTTACATATAAACAAAGTGAAGCTGTTTATTGACAGCCTCTCTTTGTTTCCCTGTTTATATGTATATCCATGCTGTTTGAAAGCTTGGTAGAACTCACAAATTGAAATCAAACGTCGTCTTCATTGTATTCATATATACGTCGACGTATGATGGCAAAGTTCACAAGTCACTTAACTTCAAATTCTAGGATCCAATGATGATTAACTTAATACGAATCGCTTTCTTAATAGATTAATATAAACACAAGTTTTGACCTCAGAATACTGTTTTCTTGTATTTTTTCGCGACAGTGCTCATTTACTTGCCTAGAACTATTTCTAAAGTTCAAATCCCAAAACTGAATATTATGTTTACAAACACTTTAATATTTTTTAGGATTCTGATCCTGTAGTAGAGGTTATGGATGAACCAAAACCTAAGGAGCCATATTGTCAGGAGGACCCGGATCCAGGACCATGTCGGATGGAGGTTAGAGATAAATATCATAAATATTTTTTAAGTAATTTTCTAATCCCAATATCTTTGCTACCCAATGTCGTATACCTTTGATATTTCAAACTATGAACTCTGTTAGACCAAATAATCTAAGTTTGAAGTATCAAAGATTTACATCATCAGATAGAGGGATTAGACAATTTGAGTTTGTGACAAAAACTCAGTTCCTTTATACGGCATATTCCCTTATACATAAGATTCTCTCATCTCTGCAACTGTAAACTGGCTTCGTTCGTTGCCATGTCAATAAATAGGTCATTAGAATACTATATTTAAGACAAAAAACTTAATTTCAGGTCGTCTTTACAGTTTAATCCTGTGTGGGTAACCATGTAGGGCCCATACAACTGTGGAATCGGAAAAATACTTAGATTTTAGTTATGATTTTAAATCTATATAATAAAAAAAGACATTCGTATATATATATATATATATATAAATATATATATATATATGTTGCCTATAGCAGATTGGGTTGACATTTTTTGTGGACACTCAGGGGCGGTCTGGGGTTGTAATTGGCTAAATAAAATACAAAAAAATGTTCCAAATATTTTTTTTCCAAATTTTTTTTCTCCACAGGCAACGCCGGGCCCTTCAGCTATTATTCAATTAAATATGAAACACTGCAAATGTACAGTGTAAGATGGCTTACAAAGTACTGGCAAAACACTATATTTTTTAAATAAATACACATAATTAATTGGTTAAATGTCGTCTTCCTCGTCCACTGTTTTCGTGTTTAATTTTTCCTATCTATAATCTTTTTTAAAATACCAAGGGGAATATTGCAGTACAAAAAAATTGTTTTGATGTAAATATGATTTGTCAAATTGTAATACGGGAGAAGGGAAAGACGTATGTAACTTCGAGTAAGCAAAAATTATGGAGTTATTCCTTTATTTCTATCTGAAAAATGATTATTTTCAACTGCATTTCTCTTTACTATTGACTTTCGTGTTAACGCTTTACAGACAATGAAGGAGATTAACAGAAATGAACACTTTTTAAACGATATTAATAAACAACGATATCTCCATCTTGTCTTCAATAAAGGTTTTAAATTGTAAATTGAAAATACTATTTAGATGTAGATTTACATTGAGTATTGATAAAAATTTAAACTTCCAAAAGGAGGTTGTCAATACACACCCAGGCTATCCGTCTTTAGTATTGAAAGTTTCAAGTGATTTAGTGACATGTATTGTAAATTCTAGATCATTCCTCAACCTTACAGCATTTACCTTTACAAACCTCACTTTAAACTTTATTTTACCATTACTAGATTTTTCATAGTTTATTTTATTATTTTTACAACATTCACATTCTTTTGAAATTCTATGTCATGGAAACTATGACTACAAAAATATTTAACCCTAACCCCCCCCAGCCTATTTACGGCCGGTTCAGGATATTTTTCAAGGTGAAATATATCCCCAACATCTCTTTTTTGTGAAAATTGTTAATTCAAAAAGATGGATAGAAGGAAAAATAGAATTTAATGAGAATTGAAATATTTGTTTTAATAAAAAAGATATGAATAAAATGTATTTCTTTGAGTGAAGAATAGATTAAATCGTAAAGAAAACAAAGTTTGAAACTTTTAAAATGAGTTTATCTTTATCTCACCAGAACAATTCTTTTCTTTAAATTTCATTTATTTCATCTGATTATGAAGAATAAATCTACATAGCTATGAGAGGGGAAGTGCTTTTATGAGTAACTCCTCCCCCCTAAATTTGTGAAATCTCACGCACCTCTGCCCCTTTAGTAAAAGTAAATTCAACCTATATGAAGCATAAAGTTTGTTGCACCGACTAGTCCTGTTCATAGAGCTAGGTACAGTAAAAACTGGGACCGGAAAGGTTGACCCGGCTCGGAAATTCAAATGTACTACGCGTACGGCTGCCCGTGCATGATCTATAGTAATTTAGTAAAAATAATTTTGATTTGTGCACTTAAGCGAGCGATAAAATATATGAACGATTTGGAAAAGGGTGGGTCTGGAAAAATAAGAAGGGGGATAGATTGGATAAATGACATGGTTTTAGTGGACATGCAAACGTCGGATAAAATAAAAGTATTATTTAGAACATTTCAATTTTTCGTAAATATTCTCTTTAATTCATTAACCAGGGTTGTTAATGAAAATTATTCATATTTTGTGATATTTTCCAATTCCAATTCTAGTCTTTCTGAGAAATCAAATTGTGAAATGCATGACAAAAAATGAAAAACCCAATCAGAAACAATTATCACAATATCAAAATTACATCAAATTAAATTCTGAAAAAATTGTGAAATAAAATGAGATTTTCAATAAAGTAATCTACATTTTCTCCGTATCAAGATCTGTTTATTCTGTAAATATGTATAATCTCTGTATCCAGATCTGTTTATTCTGTAAATATGTATAATCTTTGTATCCAGATCTGTTTATTCTGTAAATATAAATAATCTCTGTATCTAGCCCTGTTTTCTCTGTAAATATATATAATCTCTGTATCTGTATCCTCTATAAATCTATATTCTCTCTGTATCTGAATCCTCTATAAATCTATATAATCTCTGTATCTGTATCCTCTATAAATCTATATAATCTCTGTATCTGTATCCTCTATAAATCTATATAATCTCTGTATATGTATCCTCTGTAAATCTATGTAAGCTCTGTATCTGTATCCTCTATAAATCTATATTCTCTGTGTATATAGTTCTCGAGATGGTATTATGACTGGAAGGAAGAGAACTGTGTAGAGTTTAAATACTCCGGCTGTGGAGGAAACAGAAATAGTTTTGTAACTCTTCAATCCTGCCTGGAGTCCTGCCATAACGATGGGTAAGAATAATTTCTGATTCCTGCCTATTAATTACACCAGAAACCAGAAGGGGATGATTTATTGGTTTATTGGTGTATTGTCCTGTAATCCCGGCCATTAAGTCTCTCCGTTTAAGAAATAAATAATCCTAGTTTTTTGTGTCACCCTGTATTAATACTCATTACTTTTACTCACTGATTCCCTCTGTTTTGATAATTTTATTGAAGGATTCACCCTGTAGTAATACTCATTACTTTTACTTACTGATTCACCCTGTATTGATAATTTTATTGTAGGATTCACCTTGTATTGACATCTTTGATAATGGATTCACCCTGTATTGATATCTTTAATTTTGGATTCACCCTGTATTGACATCTTTGATAATTGATTCACCCTGTATTGATATCTTTAATAATGGATTCACCCTGTATTAATATCTTTAATAATGGATTCACTCTTTATTTGATATCTTTAATAATGGATTCACCCTGTATCGATATCTTTAATAATGGATTCACCCTGTATTATCATTATTCAACCATTAAGCTGAGATTACCGTTTTACAGACAGCGATAAATCTTTGTTTGTGGTCTACAGCATACAGTGGTTTATACATTTATTTATATATTTATTTATTTATACAGGCTTTATTAATAATTGGAAGCTATTATCCTAAACTACTATGTTTTACAGTAGGAATCTAGTATCCTAAACTACACATGTATACAGTAGGAAGCTATGATCCTAAACTACTATGTTTTACAGTAGGAAGCTAGTATCCTAAACTACTATGTTTTACAGTAGGAAGCTAGTATCCTAACTACACATGTATACAGAAGAAAGCTAATATCCTAAACTACTATGTTATACAGTAGGTAGTTGGTATCCTGAACTACACTTCTATACAGTAGGAAGCTATTATCCTAAACTACTTTGTTTTACAGTAGGAAGCTAGTATCCTAAACTACTATGTTTTACAGTAGGAAGCTAGTATCCTAAACTTCACATGTATACAGTAGGAAGCTATTATCCTAAACTACTATGTTATACAGTAGGTAGCTGGTATCCTGAACTACACATGTATACAGTAGGAAGCTAGTATCCTAAACTACTACAGGGTGTCCCACATCAAATTAGACCGCGTCAATGGGTCTAAATTACGATTTGGGGGACAAATCAGAAAATTTAAGAAGAATAAATCATTTAAAAAAATTTAATAAGGCTAATAGAAAATTTTGTTGGCAGAAAATGCTAGATTTTTCGCGTATTATGTGCGTATTTTGGCGTTAAAAATTGTTGGTAATCTAATATGATATGGGACGCTCTGTATGTTTTACAGTAGGAAGCTAGTATCCTAACTACACATGTATACAGTAGGAAGCTAATATCCTAAACTACTATGTTATACAGTAGGTAGCTAGTATCCTGAACTACACATGTATACAGTAGGAAGCTATTATCCTAAACTACTATGTTTTACAGTAGGAATCTTGTATCCTAAACTACACATGTATACAGTAGGAAGCTATTATTCTAAACTACTATGTTTATCAGTAGGAAGCTATTATCCTAAACCACTATGTTATACAGTAGGAAGCTAGTATCCTAAACTACACATGTATATAGTAGGAAGCTAGTATCCCTAAACTACTATGTATACAGAAGGAAGCTAGTATCCTAAACTACACATGTATACAGTAGGAAGCTAGTATCCCTAAACTACTATGTTATACAGTAGGAAGAGCGCTTTCAAAGATTTGATGTCTATGTCTCTGGTGAGAGAAGATTACCAGGCAGATTCTCCTCAACGAGTTCTTGTAGACGCTCCTGTAGAGGTCCCCTGTCAGGTCAGATCTTTTAGAAAAATAAATATTTCAAAAGGATTAAGAAAAATGTTGAAATTCTGCCAGGTATCTGATTGGTCAGATTGGTCAGCTTGCTCTGTATCCTGTGGACGAGGTTGGGCAACAAAAACACGGGAAATTATTGCGGAACCACAAAATGGCGGTCGCGCTTGCCCGCGGAAACTATCTAAGAGGAAGAAATGCCGCGGAGATGCGTGTGCAACCCGTCCTTCTGATTGGTATCAAGGAAACTGGCGAATGCTCCAAGATGATGATGATAATGATATCTAAGATAATCGCTGCAGCAACAAATTTAAACTTTTCCGCTTCCGAATTTCTTCAATTTTTGTAGCAGTGTGAGTTTGATATTATAAGCAAAGCTTTTTCTTGCCTTATATTTTCATTAAAGTGTATGCATTCATGCATTTAATATTTAACTTAATAATTGTGTGCCAGGGATGTAAACAACCTTTATTTACGGGGACTGCATTATCTTATATTTATCCATGTTTTTATAATTCTAATATGTATTCTCAACTACTTCAAAACTTATATATCATAAAGAAAGTTTATTAACTAATAAATAAATAAATTAGCATACAACTTTACAATAGCTGTCATAGTTTAATTGTTCATTGCTCAATGCTCAGCCTTCAAATCTCCACGTTCCGCGCTTCGGCAACATTCTCATAAATGCGCGCGGTAAACTCTTCAAGCTACACACTGTACTCTCTGTACTCTTTGTACTCTCTGTGCAGGAATTAGTTTAAACTCCACTCAAATATTTGCTTCCCACAAGGCAAGTTCTGTATTTACAATTTCTTTATAGAACTCCTGAGACTCTAGGGAAGGTAGGAGGGATCCCAAGGAGCGGAAATGTAGAGCTATAACGGCGGTAGTATCCTGGGTTAAAAACTCCAGTTGATCCAGTATATCAGGTTGTTTTCTAATCTCAAATATACTTGGATAGCTAGCGAAGGGAAGTTGTTTAAATACACGTCCCTTTAAGAAGTCTCCAACCCTGTTATCCCCGCTAGCGACAAGAACTTTACCATTCTCCTTGACCACCCAGGGGGCGAGGTAGGCGTCGTAGATGTCGTCGAACTTGGTCACCTTCTTTTCAACTAACACGTCGTTCTTAGCCTTGATATACATTCCTCGGTCTAGAGCTAGGACCTGGTATACAGCATCTCCTACAGTCAAGGACTCAATATAATGACTTCCATGATTCTGTACAAACTGTTCTACACTCTCCTTATCTCCAGATCGAATTCTTTGAAACGCGTCGGAGGCGTCGGGTTTTAACTGAGGCGTACCTTCAATCTTCAGGGTAGCCTTGGGCTTAGCCAGCTTTACAAGAACAAACCCTGCGTCGGATTTGAGAATGCTCTCGCTGATCCCGAAATATTTGACGGTGGTTGGAGTTCTCCAGCTGCCAGTGAACATTCGGTAGGGTTCTCGAACCCCTTCGGCATCAAAATCGTGAAAATAGTGCTTCATTAGATCGTCCAAATCGTCGCAGAAATAAATCTGAAACTGATCCTGGAACCTGTTAGCCTGAGGCAGAGTGATTTGTCGGACGGACTCGGATGTGAATATTTTTGAAGTGGGTTCGCGGATTACCCAAGTTCCGAAGTCGTCACGTGGAACCACTCGCACAGACAAAGAGAAAAATCCAAATCTGAAAATATAATGGTTTGAGAATATTATAGAACGGGGTTTAACAAGAACATAAGATGAATATAAAGATATTTAAACTTACATTCGAGAACAGTAGAAAATAAAAAAAAGATCTGAAAAAATATAAAAAACAGAATTGGATTAAAGTAAGAATAGGAAAGAAAATAATACAAAAGTATAGAGAAGAATAGAATAATTATAGAATATAATACAATAGAATAGTATAGAATAGAACAGAATAGAATAGAATAGAATAGAGTAGAATAGAATAGAATAAAATAAAATAGAATAGAATTCAATAGAATAGAATAGAATAGAATAGAATATAATAGAATAGAACAGAATAGAATTGAATGGAATAAAATAAATAGAATATAATAGAATAGAACAGAATAGAATTGAATGGAATAAAATATAATAGAATATGATATAATATAATAGAATAGAATAGAATAGAATAGGATAGAATAGAATAGAATAATTATAGAATAGAATAGAATAGAATAGAATAGAATAGAATAGAACAGAATGGAATAAAAAGAAAAATCTATGTTCTTGATCCATTGTTTTATTTGTTTTTTATCTACATTGTATAGTTTCCTTCATTATTTTATATAGGATGTATTTATTCTTTAGATTAAATACTTATTATTAATACACATTTTTACATTTAAGATTCAAGACAAAAAGTAAATTCTAGGTTGTAACAAGAATAAGTGAAACCTATCAGAAACTTTAATCTAAATATTAAATAAATTTGTTTGATTAATTTCGTTTTCATTTGAGTGTATTTAAAAACGAATGCATTTTCAGGAATTATGATTTCAAGGTTAGAATAGAAATATCATTTCAGACTCAAAACCGTGAAATTTCAAAACAAAACACAAAGAGCGTGACGGCTTAGCAATTACGGTATGTTGTTGTGTTTTTTATTATAAATTCCGGGAAATAACATTATCAGTAATGAAGAATCTTCGTCTCGTCTTACATCATAATGATGCAACAGTTTTTTACAAAAGAATATAAAAAATTTTGTTGGAATTTTTAAGGTTTTCGAATTTTCATTCAAAAAATGATGAGTGAAACAAATAGAATGGATTTAAAGCGTAAATGTTAATGCCAAAAAATTGCTCATTGGTGAACGTTTTATTGTGTTGCAAAATCTACTAAAGCTAGAACCATTAATTGAATGATGGAAATAATAAATATAAATGCGGGAAACATTCATTTTGATTTTAATGTGAAATTGATCTAAAGATTAATTTTGTTGACGGATAGTAAATATTATTCAAGATGGCGGATTATATTATTCAAGATGGCGGATAATATTATTCAAGATGGCGGATAGTAAATATTATTCAAGCTGGCGGATAATATTATTCAAGATGGCGGATAGTAAATATTATTCAAGCTAGCGGATAATATTATTCAAGATGGCGGATAGTAATTATTATTCAAGATGGCAGATAATATTTTTCAAGATGGCGATAATATTATTCAAGATGGCGGATAATAAATATTATTCAAGATGGCGGATAATATTATTCAAGATGGCGGATAATGAAAAGAAAATGGCGATTTAGTAAAACTGGAGCTGAATAACCTGTAGAATAAATCTAGAGCTTCTCCTGCTGGTAGATCGAACTGCTGCGTGTCTTGTCTAGGTTCAGCTCTGGTAATCCCTTCCCTGGCCCCCAGGAGGAGAAGGTTCGAACTCTGGCGAGTTTGTCGAACCAACCTGGAGACAGGGGAACTGGAAACCAACCCAAGCAATAACACAATAACCAGCCTAAACAAAAATGATTTTTAAATTCAAGAAATGCTGTTTATACTTTCTCATTAATATATCATGTTTAATGGGTAAACCTTTGATATTTCAAACTAAATTATTATTTGAACGAATACAATTCATAGTTTGAAATATCTAAGAGCTATGATTATAATTTGAAAATCATTTGTGTCAAAGACTCAATTCCTTTAGAGATGTACAGTATACATTGTACATTCAAAATAGTTGTTTTTGTAAGAAATGTACTGCAAATTTAAATTTAACAAAGACAGTTTATATGTACGTACGATGATAACTAGTTTAAAGTGGAATTTAAGACTAAAACTATTTTTATTCCAGTATATACTGGTTATCAATTTACATTTGTTAAATATTTCTCAGGTTTGTTTGGTATAAATGGACCGTTAGCATAATTTTAAATGCCCCCCCATGAAAAAACTGTGTATTTTTATTTTAGGCTTTGCTGCGAAAGTTACTTGTGCATTTAAAAAATAAACGGTTCTAAAGGTACCGTTGTGAATTGGTCGCTTGAAACTTCATGTACAGCTCTTTTAAAGAGGTTCTAGTATTGCCATAATTTTGTGCAATTTCTAACAAAAATTACTGACTCCTTAGAACAGGAAGCTAAAGGTTACAATCCGAGGAACTATCTCTGCTTCCTCATTACAAATATCAAATGTTGCAAAAATATGAAACGTTAAAAGTTTAAAAAGAAGCGGAAGGTAATTATTAAAAAACATATGACAAGGGATATATAAGAATTATTAAAAGATATATTTATTCCTGAAACAAATAAAGTGTTTTTATTTTTCCAAAATATTTATAATTTTCCAAGTTGAGAGTTGAGAGTAACGGTATTATATTTATACAAATCAGGTTTTGGTATTATGACACACCCTGGTGCTCGGAGCTACTTGTAGTTTGGACAAACATGATATTTTACAATTTCATCTGTTTTATGATGTTGTTCTAACGTTGTTCTAGTCAAATACTTATAGAAGGCTCTTTTAAAGGGACGGACCGGCTATGTTAGGTAGTTAAACTGAGTTTGCGGTGTTGTGGACGAACTCTTTAGGATTCATTTGAGGCATAAAAACTTTTTAAAGATCTGTAAAGCCTGAGTTTGAGCTCAGTTCAATTACCTTACATAGCCGGTCTGTCCTTTTAAAGGGACGTTGTGAATAGCATGTATACTGAGTCACACTCAGAGTCAGGGCAGTTGGGAATTCAAATTTGTTCCTAGATTTAACGTCAAGATATTCAGTAGTTTGTTTCGTACTTTTTTTAAATAAAAAATGGCATTTATGTTAACATTGAAAATGCAACCCAGCCTAATCCAAGGAGTTTTTTTTGTCACAATCCCTGATTGAAATATCGATGGTATACATTATAGGGTTAAAAAGATATAAGTAGTGTTCTAATCTTCATTGCGGATTAAAACATTTGAGTTTGCGGATTAAAGACTCAAATCATTTCCGTGGGTTTGAGAACCTTATGTATACAGAGCTGGAAACTTTAGAATGGTGGATATCAGGATTAATGCTTAATCCTTTGTTTTTGTTAATCTCGAGACTTACATAATCTCGAGATTATGTTATTTTTGAGATTAAATATTTAGATCAACAAATTGGATTCTAAGAACGCCAGATTTGTTGGTTTTCTTGACTGAAAGGGCCCTCACTTAATTTCTTACCCATTTATTTATTAATACATTAGTTAAAATTGGTTTCAAAAGAATCTAAAACGTATTATTAAATATTTTTCCTCACCGATTACTTTACAAAATGGCCGACAACAAATTCTTGATTTGTTAGAAATTGCAGATTTCTCTCATGGGATAGAATTTATATACAAAGCTGTCATTGGTCAATACAATTTACGAAATATATTCCTGCACTTCATTGAAGAAAATAATGTAAGGATATCCAAAGAGAGAGAAAAAGAGTAGATTAAGTACTCAAATTAAAAGTTTCCACAGTGAATATTCGTATTAAGTAGTTGGGATTAAAGGTTATCCATTCTAAAGTTCCCAGCTCAGACCGTACTTATTAGGTGATGATAAATCTAATAAGCTGGATATCAAAGTTTCCTCTATCGGTAGAGGACATGTCCGACTCCTCACAACGGTATAAATTATTTGTGGTTTCTATATATCAGGACTTTTAGAATTCTACAGATTATACAAAAAATTGATTTGAAAATAACGACGATATCTCCCTCTTTACTGCTCAAGTAAGGTTCAAAAGGTTATCGTAGTAATTTGGGTTTACAACTAAATGGGGGGGCCGGGAAGGGGGGATGGGGGGCACTTTAAAGTGCCCCCCATCCCCCCAGTGCCTTTAAAGTGTTCTAATTTTTCTGAATCTCACTGCAGGGTTTAGAAGATTCTGAATCACCCTGCAGGGTTTAGAAGATTCTGAATCACCCTGCAGGGTTTAGAAGATTCTGAATCCCCCTGCAGAGTTTAGAAGATTCTGAATCTCCCTGGGTTTAGAAGATTCCGAATCTCCCTGGGTTTAGAAGATTCTAAGCAGAAGTACTTACATGTTGGTTCGTTGGCCGTAGCAGGCAGACTAAACATTATTCCAAGTATATACATTGCTGAAGGTTATTCCAAACCATAGCAGATAGATATACGCCAGGGGCACCAGGGGAGACAGAAGGGTGGGGACACCAAACCCTGCACTGGAGTAAAATTATTCTCCCCCCCCCCACACGTTTCCGGAATATTTCTGTCAAAAAAAATTATTAGTACTATATTATCGTTATCAATTTATAATTAATATAATCATGATTGTCATTATCATCAGTATTATCATTATTATTATTATTATCATTATTGTTAGTATCATCATTATCATTTTTATTATCATTTTTATTCCCATAACTGAGAGTTTTTTTTGTGAGGGGGCGCTTTGACCTTTCAGCAAACAGTAAACGTACTGATTAATGATATTTGGTAGTTAATATTTATTCGCTGTAAAATAATAAGTTATTTAGAAAGAAGTATTTAATAACTTGGATACATGCTGGCATTGCTAAGCTTTCATTTACAAGAGCAGGATGTTTTTTTTGTGAATTTTGGAGCAGAGTACATTTTTCAAGAAAAAATACAAATTGAATTGGATAATTTATCAGGTTCTACATTTAATAAATCACAATTAGAGTACATGGTATGCATATTGCATGGTCATAAATAGAACTGATAATGGCAGAACAGAATGAATTCAAGATTAGCTAGGACTGTTGCTCTATTACAACCCAGAATATGACACATCAGATTATAACTGTTGCTCCTTTATAATGCTAGAGAAGGATATACTGAGACATAGGACTTTTGTTCTATGATAAAACCAGAACAGGATGTTTATAATGACCAGGACTGTTTCTCCGAGAGAAACCCAGGATAGTATGGAATAGGATTAGGACTATTCCTCCAGGATAAACCCAAGATAGGATGGAATAGGATTAGGACTATTCCTCCAGGATAAACCCAAGATAGGATGGAATAGGATTAGGACTATTCCTCCAGGATAAACCCAAGATAGGATGGAATAGGATTAGGACTGTACCTGAATCTTGGTGTTTTCCAAGATTAGGACATAATTTATTTAGGATTAGGAATGTTGCTCCAGGATAAACCCAGGATATGATGTATTAAGGATTAGGACTGTTTCTCCAGGATAGGTCCAGAATATGATGTATTCAGCATTAGGACTGTTTCTCCAGGATAAATCTAAGATATGATGGATTCTTGATTAAGACTGTTGCTCCAGGATAAACCCAGGATAAGATGTAATTAGGATTAGGACTATTGCTCCTGGATAAACCAGGAAGAGAATAATTCGAGATTTAGGACTGTTGCTCAAGAATAAACCATATGATAGGATGTAATTGGATTAGGACAGTTGCTCCGGTGCTCTCCTAGAATAAGAGATGGATTTAGGAGTAGGAATGTTTCTGCGGGATATGATGTATCTAGGATTAGGACTGTTGCTCCAGGATGTAACCGGGATAGGACGGGTCCGGATCAGGACTGGTAAAGGACGGGTCTTGAGATGAGTAGGACGGATCAGGAGCTTTCCTCTTGGTTGATCTTCTACTCAAGGACCGGGATCTACTCTCTCTTTTCCTGAAATAAATGAATCACAATTTATATATAAAGTGAATCCTTAATTGAGAATTCTTGCATTAACAAATTGAGTACAAAAAATGTCGTCTTGATATTTAGACAATTTTAGAACATTGAAAATAGTCTTTCTTTTTACGTTATTAAAAGAACTAGATTATTCAGTTGGTTGAGTACACTATATTCGAACTATTGTAGGCATTTATTTTTGTTAGGAGAAATATAATCCATCAGGTAGAAATTAGGATCTAGAGCCAGCGTTGATAAACCATGAGATAAAAGTTTATTTCAGTAAATACAATGAGTTGAGTTCATTACTGTATTTTATTCCTTTAGTGTATCGCACTATATATGATTACTCTATTTCCATACGGTGGTAGGCGATTATATCACTAAAATGAAGACGACTTTTTAAAATAAGTTTGATTGTTAACAAGCTTTTTTCGAATTACAAGTTTACATGTAATCAAAGAGAAGAATTTTTAAATGATAAATTCTCTTGACTTCTATGGTGGATTCAGGCTGTTTAACAGCGTAATTTAAATCAAAATTGAATTCGAAAGTCGTCTTCATTGTATTGGTATAAATGCCTACCACTGTATTTTGTCCGATTCAGTACTGTACTCTTAAAATATTTATTAAATTTCGGATTTCTACTCCAAAAACAATAGAGAGGAAATTGTCAGTATAAATACTTCTCAAAAACAATTATATATTCCACGCGCGGATTTTTGGTAACGTCAATTTGACAATGACAATTTGGTAATTACAACTTGTTAAGTACATATAAGTGACAATTTGGTATTGGCAAATTGGTAACTACAAACAAATAGCAATTTGGTAATGACAATTTGGTAGTTACAAAAAGTTACAATTTGGTAATGCCAATTTGTTAACGATGTAAAAGTTACAATTTGGTAGCTACAAAAAGTGACAATTTGGTAATGACAATTTGAATGCTTCATAAAATGACAATTTGAACTACATAAAGTGACAATTTTGTAGTCTAGGTAACTTTTGTTAACCTCTAGTTCATTAAATGTGTATTTAAAAAAAATCTTTATCAATGATCAAACAAAACACAATAGACTGTATTTGGGAATATATGAATAGGTTTGGATTAATTAGATTTAAAAAACAAAATGTCGATTATCAAAATGTTACATTGTGTTGGGTTAGGTTAGGTAAAGGCAGTTTTTGGGGCGAGCGCTGCAGCTATGGGGCCGAGCGCTGCGGCCTCTTAATGTTGAATAATGAGCTGTTTCTATCATTATTTTGGGTTAGGTTAGGATAAAAAGTGTAGGGGCCAAGCGCTGCGGCTAGGATGAGCCAGGAGCCGAGCACCGTGGCCTCTTTTTAAATGTTGAATAATTTGCTGTCTCTCACATTACTTTGGGTTATGTTAGATTAGGAGAATTTCTGGGCCGAGTGCTGCGGCTAGGATGGGCTGTCCGAGCACTTGCGGAGTCTTTAATGTTGAATAATGTACTGTCTCTTACATGATGTTGGATAAGTGGGGTTAAGATACTTCTAGACCGAGTGCTGTGTCTATAACAAGCTATTACAGGCTATTACAGTTGCAAAATTTAAAGAAAATTGCTAAATAAGGAGCTTAAAATAATCAGCTAAAATCAACATTTTAACATTTAAGAGGCCGCAGCGCCCGGCCCCCAAACCCATCCTAGCTGCAGCGCTCGGCCCAGAAATAGTCTTTACTTAACCTAACCCAACATAATCTAATTAATTATTTATTAATAATGGCAAATATGTATGCTTTTTTATCAAAATTGTCATAAACAAAATGTCACTTTATGTCGTTACCAAATTGTCATTTCCAAATTGTCATTACCAGATTGTCACTTTTATGTCGTTACCAAATTGTCATTTCCAAATTGTCATTACCAGATTGTCACTTTTATGACGTTACCAGGTTTCATTACCAAATTGTAACTTTTGTGAATTTACCAAATTGTCGTGATTGATTGAGTAAGCAACTTTTAAAATGGAAGGTCACTGGAAATTTGACCGATAGTCCCAATAATAAACTTAAAATTAATTACTTATTATTGTATATTTCTCGTCGGAGAATTTCCTGATTCCTCCTTTTCCTTGTCATCCTTCTTACAACCTTTATCAAGTTAGAACCCAGGTTTCAACCTTTCTCAAGTTAAAAACCAGGCCTCAACCTTTCTCAAGTTAGAAACCAGGCCTCAACCTTTCTCAAGTTAGAACCAGGCCTCAACCTTTCTCAAGTTAAAAACCAGGACTCAACCTTTCTCAAGGTAGAAACCAGGCCTCAACCTTTCTCAAGTTAGAAACCAGGCTTTAACCTTTCTCAATTTAGAATTCAGGCCTCAACCTTTCTAAAGGTATAAACCAGGCTTTAACCTTTCTCAATTTAGAATCCAGGCCTCAATCTTTCTCAAGTTAGAATCCAGGCCTCAACCTTTCTCAAGTTAGAAACCAGGCCTCAACCTTTCTCAAGTTAGAAACCAGGCTTTAACCTTTCTCAAGGTAGAAACCAGGCCTCAACCTTTCTGAAGTTAGAAACCAGGCCTCAACCTTTCTCAAGTAAGAAACCAGGCCTCAACCTTTCTCAAGTTAGAAACCAGACTTAAACCTTTCTCAAGGTAGAAACCAGGCCTCAACCTTTCTCAAGTTAGAAACCAGGCCCCAACCTTTCTCAAGTTAGAAACCAGGCCTCAACCTTTCTCAAGGTAGAAACCAGGCCTCAACCTTTCTCAAGTTAGAAACCAGGCCTCAACCTTTCTCAAGTTAAAAACCAGGCCTCAACCTTTCTCAACTTAGAGACCAGGCCTCAACCTTTCTCAAGTTAAAAACCAGGCAAATGTTTCCACATCAGGTTGCAAAAATATATAGATCTTAAGATTAGATTATCAGTTTCTTCAAATAAAAACTGGATTAAGTGTTGAGAAAAGTTCCTCTTGTTGTGTGAGCAAATACAGCAGCAGAGACAACAAATAAATATGGAGAGCAAACAGATCCCTGCAGAACCCCATCCAACCCATACAAATATATTCATTCTCCAGTCATAATCTTCCTATAGTAAAACATTTTAAAAGTTTAAAGTACATATTATATTCTTTTTTTATATCCAATAAACATAGAAACAGCTGAACCGATTGATCCCAAATTTTTGGTGGGACCTCACATGACCTCTAAGGTAAGGATTAAAAAATTTGACCTTTTAATATATTCTATTTTTCAAAATCTACAAAAAAAATCGATAAATCCGCAAATTTTTAATAATCTAAAAAGAGAAAATGGAGCAGACAGAGCAACATTTAAAAGTTGAATTTAAATATGGGCACGAAGCGTTCAAAAAGCCTAGTATTCTATAATTGGGTCATATATAAATGCCAGATGTTGTCTTTTTTCAAAATAAACTTCTAAATCAAAAACTTGTCTGGAATATTATCAATGAGCGGTAAGATATGCTTAGTTGTGTTCCGGATTCCAAAAATTGGATTATTATTTCTTGAAATCTGAAAATTTCATATTTAAAACCAGGTTGACCTCTAGTTCTTCTTCTTCCTGCTTCTGGTCCTCCGGAGTAACCTCCGGGTTAATCATCTCCAGCCTCCAAACCTTGTCATGCTCAACCAACTCAACCTAAAAGGGACTGTAAACTTATTTTCAAAGGAAGTTTTAAGTGACCCTCCATACCAAGAAAGCAAATGTCCGATTTACAAGAATACCCTTGACAACTGAGTCTGATAAAAATTTTGAAGAAGCCGTCGAATTTCTGATTCGAAAAAAATGTTTAATTCTGTTAATTTCTCCATTGCTTCTGATTAGCAATTAACAATTTAATAAACAAAACATAAATATCTAACTTATAATTTCTCAGAAAAACCGTAAATTAAGCATTCAGCTTTATTTAGAGGTTCAGTTGAAATTACGTTTACAGTTCCTTAAAGAGACCCACCAACTACACAATTCACAACAGTACCTTTTATAACTTTGTCGGGGCTGAAATAATATCCTTGATATCCATTCTATAAATTCTTTAAACGTCACTTGTGATTATAGCAGATAGATATATGCAGAGCAAATAAGAAAGAAATTTTCAAAATAGAAAAACGACGATATCTTCCAAATAGTTACATAGATAAGGGATGCCTTTATAAACTGGGCATGCAGTTCTTTAAATAAATAATAATATTAATATTTCACCGAAAGTATTTTAAAGGTTCCAATGAATGGGATTCAAGATCTTTTTGGTTCTATCAATTTTCAATTTACCTCAGTTTTCAACATTTCCCCCCCTGACTGAAGAGAGCAGGAGAACTTAGTTTCAGAGCAGCAGAGAACAGAGAGTCCAAGTTTTCTGGTTTCAACTCCAGATACAGATACGGATAGCGGATAGGTTTCCAGCTTGCTCCGTCCTACGGGTGTTTCTTCTTTCTATACAATACAAGAACAAGTTTCTAGCTTGCTCCGTCCTACTGGAGTTCATCCTATATACAGAGGATAGGTTTCTAGTTTACTCCGTCCTACTGGAGTTCATCCTATATACAGAGGATAGGTTTCTAGTTTACACCGTCCTTCTGAAGTTTATCCTATACAGAGGATAGGTTTCTAGTTTACTCCGTCCTACTGGAGTTTATCCTATATACAATATAGGTTTCTAGTTTACTCCGTCATATACTGGAGCTCGTCCTATATACGGAGGATAGGTTTATAGTTTACTCCGTATTACTGGAGTTCATCCTATACAGAGGAGAGGTTTCTAGTTTACTCCGTCCTATTGGAGTTCATCCTATACAGAGGATAGATCTCTAGTTTACTCCGTCCTAATGTAGCTCGTCCTATATACAAAGGATAGGTTTCTAGTTTACTCAGTCATACTGGAGTTCATCCTATATACAGAGAATAAGTTTCTAGTCTACTCCGTCCTATACTGGAGTTTATCCTATACAGAGGATATGTTTCTAGTTTACTCCGTCCTATACTGGAGTTTATCCTATACAGAGGATATGTTTCTAGTTTACTCCGTCCTATTCTGGAGTTTATCCTATACAGAGGATATGTTTCCAGTTTACTCCGTCCTATACTGGAGTTTATCCTATACAGAGGATATGTTTCTAGTCTACTCCGTCCTATACTGGAGTTTATCCTGTAGAGAGGATATCTTTCTAGTTTACTCCGTCATACTGGAGTTCATCCTATATACAGAGGATATGTTTCTAGTTTACTCCGTCCTATACTGGAGTTCATCCTATATACAGAGGATATGTTTCTAGTTTACTCCGTCCTATACTGGAGTTTATCCTATATACAGAGGATATGTTTCTAGTTTACTCCGTCCTATACTGGAGTTTATCCTATACAGAGGATATAATTCTAGTTTACTCCGTCCTATACTGGAGTTTATCCTATACAGAGGATATGTTTCTAGTTTACTCCGTCCTATACCGGAGTTTATCCTATACAGAGGATATGTTTCTAGTTTACACCGTCCTTCTGGAGCTCATCTATATATGTGTAATGTTCAATATTCAAAACGAAACTTACCAAGTCTTGTTCTTCTCCTCTGAAAGAAAAATCATTAGCATTTCATATTATAGGGACTGCAAAGGTTATTTCAAGTAAACTTAGATTTCGGAATTTCCATTAACGGCATGATTTGCAGGATACAACTCCAGACTAGATATGGAGCTGGAGAACCCTGACTATACCTGATATAGCTCCAGACTAGATATGGAGCTGGTGAACCCTGACTATACCTGATATAGCTCCAGACTAGAAATGGAGCTGGTGAACCCTGACTATACCTGATATAGCTCCAGACTAGATATGGAGCTGGTGAACCCTGACTATACCTTATATAGCTCCAGACTAGATATGGAGCTCAAGAACCCTGACTATACCTGATATAGCTCCAGACCAGATATGGAGCTCGAGAACCCTGACTATACCTGATATATCTCCAGACTAGATATGGAGCTGGTGAACCCTGACTATACCTGATATAGCTCCAGATTAGATATGGAGCTGGAGAACCCTGACTATACCTGATATAGCTCCAGACTAGATATGGAGCTCGAGAACCCTGACCATACCTGATATAACTCCAGACTAGATATGGAGCTGGTGAACCCTAACTATACCAGATATATCTCCAGACTAGATATGGAGCTGGTGAACCCTGACTATACCTGATATAGCTCCAGACTTGATATGGAGCTGGTGAACCCTGACTATACCTGATATAGCTCCAGACTAGATAAGGAGCTGGAGAACCCTGACTAGAACACATGAGATGCATCTGATTCCCTTGTCTATACCCTGTACTGATATCTAGTTCAATATCTGGACCGGATACAACCTATATATAAGAATATGTAAGAAAAATTTTATTAATTGGATTGTCGTCTTCTTTCGTTCTTTTATTTAGGATTTTGAAATGTGTAATTCTTATAACTTATATACTTTTATAAAACCTCTGGGTATATTCTTCGAAAGGAATCAGTTATAAAATTCCAAATCAACCCAAAAGAAAGAACGAACCTGGCAATCATTTCTCTTTTTTTGTAGTTACCACTGTTTTAGGTACCATTGCTGGATTTAAAGAATACTTTTACAAGAATAATTTAGAAGTACTTCGACATTCTGTTTACTGTTGATCCATGTAGAGTTGTGAAAGAATTGCATGCAAAGTTGTCATATTAAATTGTATCTAATTGAAACTGATGTTTGCAAACATTGGTATCAAATTGTCACTGAGATTTCAAATAAATTGAACACTTATATTTATGATAATTAAATTTAGAAATCTGGACGATCTGCTTGGAAAAAACAACAATAACCGTCTCAAATATCACTGCTAACTAGACAGAAGAAGAAGGTAAAAATTCCGTTTATCCGGTTATACATTAGAAATTCAAAACACTTTTGTAGTTCTCAACAGCTCTTCTATTGAGGAGTTGGGATTAAAAACATTCATGAATTCAATTTTAAGCCAAATGTACTTTAGTTTGACGTCTTAATGTATTATTTACTCTAAGAAAACACAAAACCAATGATTCTAATTATTCTGAGAGTAAATGGCACTCCTTCACTCTAAGAAACGTAAATCTTTCATCTGACAAATCAGATCTTCTTGATGGAGTTCTAGAGCCAACTTCAACTTAGTAGCACATGTCTTTAAAAGTTGATGAATGATAAATGGTTTTTGAGATTTGAGAGCTAAAAATAGTTCAACATCAAAGCACTACCCACAAAGGATTAGACTTGAGAGACAGCTGTACAGATGTTTTAATCTAATATATTTTCTTTATTTTAAAGGGAGTGTTCGCGAAAAATGAAAGGGGGTATAGGCTTAATGCGATAAAAAAGCGTTTGATCGCTACTAATCTTACTTCTATCTGCTGCGTCTATAAGGAGAAAATTGTTAAAGACGTCTCATACCGAATAACTTAGCGTCCATATAAATTGAAAAAATTGCAACACACGACTTAAACCGTAAAAAAATCAATTTAATTTCAAACAAATCATTCAGATATTACAACCTATAGTCATCGATTATCTTTCGCCACATTTGTATATAAAGTTTATATTTTATAATATTTTTTAACTAATTTTTTTATATTTTTTTTCAGAAAACGTTTTTAACGGATTTCGAAAAATGTGAATGGTGCGCGGCATTCTTAGATAGTTGCGCAAGCGACAAGAGAAATAAAATTAAAAAATTATACATACAGTACATAAAGTGGAACCCTGTAGATACATACAGTACATAAATTGGGACCCTGTAGATACATACAGTACATAAAGTGGGACCTTGTAGATACATACAGTTTATAAAGTGGAACCCTGTAGAAACATACAGTACATAATGTGGGTCCCTGTAGATACATTACAGTACATAAAGTTGGACCCTGTAGATACATACAGTACATAAAGTGGGACCCTGTAGATACATACAGTACATAAAGTTGGACCCTGTAGATACATACAGTACATAAAGTGGGACCCTGTAGATACATACAGTACATAATGTGGGACCCTGCATAGATACATACAGTACATAAAGTTGGACCCTGTAGATACATACAGTACATAAAGTGGGACCCTGTAGATACATACAGTACATAATGTGGAACCCTGTAGATACATACAGCACATAAACTGGGACCCTGTAGATACATACAGTACATAATGTGGAACCCTGTAGATACATACAGTACATAAAGTGGAACCCTGTAGATACATACAGTACATAAAGTTGGATCCTGTAGATACATACAGTACATAAAGTTGGATCCTGTAGATACATACAGTACATAAAGTGGGACCCTGTAGATACATACAGTACATAAAGTGCCTGTAGATACATACAGTACATAAAGTGGGACCCTGTAGATACATACAGTACATAAAGTGGAACCAATAAAACAATGAATTAAAAACGAGTTTTAGACTGAAGTTAAGATTTTCTATAGTCCAATGAATTCAACACAAATTTTGCGCAGTGTCCAAAGACCCATTTTGTTTAATAAGCAAAATAAAATCAAATAAAAAAGATATATGAATGTTGTCTATCTATATTCTCTCAGACTATGTATATACATTTATCAATTTGGTGAACATATAATTTGTTAATTCATTACATTTGATATTTAATGTAATATTGGAATTCTCAATACATGATAATTCTTATTAAAACTTTAAATCAAACCTAACTTTGAATGAATGCAGGTTATTTAACGGTTACATCTGATCTTAGAGAAATTGCGATAAAGCGACTATTTAAGTGCATAAAAATGACCATAAAATCAATAGTAGTAACTGTGAAAAAAATTAATAACTTTTTAATAAAATCAGTATACAGTATTTTACACATTTCATTTAAGTAAAAATCTTATGTATAAAATTGTATTCCTTTTCCACAATTTTATGTGTCTCACTGTATGGAATAAAAATCTGACCTGCTCTGAGTTGGATAAGACTGTGAGTCTACCAGATCTTGATCTCAGGACCCGGATATCCCCAGGACCCACACATTAGCAATAATATTAATTAGTTTCAAGCTTTATCTTAAAGACGACATTTTTTTCCAGATTTATCCAATTTTAGGATATAATTTAAACTACAGTGGTAGGCGATAATAGTAACATGATGAAGATAACTTTTTTATTTAAGTTTTAATTAATTTTTAAGATTTTTTTCGAATTACAAGTTTACAAAGCTCAATAATAAATAAATATAAAAATAAATCGAAAGTCGTCTTCGTTGAATTGACATGTCACCTACCACTGTATCTTGATGCCCAGTGTTCTATATCTAATATTGATTAAAGAGCTCGAGATTTTTAGAATTTGTTAGATCTAGCAATAGATTAATTAATCTCCGTCGCGTATTTAATATATTAAAAGCATAACGATTATACTTGATACTTATATTACATAATTTTTATTCTGTATCATTACTTAGTTTCAGAAGTGTGGGTAGCGTAAATAATACAACCCCTCATGAGAAAATTAAATAAGAAAACTGAATTAATAAAGAAACTTAGTAATTAGTTAACACCTCAGAGACCAAACTTTTAAATCTTTTCATTACCGGCGCATATTGGCTCAATGCTTGATCTCGATATATTGTTAATCTACAGATTTTTTTAATTTCTTTATCTTTATCCCCTAAAGTTCATAAAACTAACAGCTAATCAAAGTAAAAATTTCTAGAGATCAAGCAGATTTTTCCGTAAAATTCAAAAGTGCCCAAATGGATATCGATATCATCACGTGATCGGAATTATGGGATCCAGTACACAAGTTCCCAGCTCGGGAATTGAGCTTAAGACCTTCAATTCAAGCCATTTTGGAATGCTGGGACCGAATTTTATAAATTGGAGAGAGGTTGTTGAACTAACCACCGCCGGTTCAACTACTTCTCAAGTTCTCACGGGCTCAAATCCTGAATCACCTATTCAAAGACTTAAGATTTTAAACAAGCCTAGTTTGAAATCAGCTGATGCAAACATATTTGTTGACAATTCCAAACAATCATCTCATTTTATCTCATTGTATAAAGATGAACCTGGTTCTAGGAGAGATAAACTAAGATTACACTTATAAACTCCGGACATCTTCTCATCTATCCTGTCAAACCGAACCGTAAGAACGGAGATGTTGAATCCAGATTTAACATCTCCAGGTTCCTGGTTCACATGTATAGGGTCCACCATGTAGGATACGGAGCCTGGAATCAATCATCTATTTATATATTTGACTGGTCTGATTGTTTTTATGCCAACTTTTGACCCCTGGAAAGGTTTATGGCCGGTCAGAAATTGCAAAATTTTCCCGCGTTAAAAAAACATGTTGGAAACCCGCGAAATTAGTGATTGTTATTTTATACTACAATAATAACTACAACATTAAAATCCCATGGTTTACCAAGTAGTTATTGCTCAGGCATAACAAGTAAATAAATTCACGGAAATTATTATGATAGAAATGCCAGAGTAAACATTCATAGATATTAAGTAGAATTAATTACTGTAATGCATCATCTGTTAGCAAGAATATGAATGTATATTCTGGGTTTAAAATGTTGTTGAAAAATGGTAAAGTACTCATCTTTGGTTACCTCTCTTTAAAAAGATTATATTCAAGACGTTTTTTATGTCTAATGTTGTAGTTATCATTCAACATGGAATGGAATAGGTGCATGCAGTATGGAAACGCCTCACCACGGAAAGTGGTGAGTCGGATTAAAACTTTCCATCTCTGAATCTAAATGTTAGACCTGGATCCAACCAGTCTGTATCTGGGTAGATATGAGCGTGTTGACGTGTCCCTGGCTGGTAGCTGAAGAATATAATGTCGTCCTTAAACCACTGAACTTGATGAACTCGTGTTAATGGGGTCTCCCTGAATAGAGAAGGGCATGGTTTTTTTTTTAACGAACGAAATATTTTAGAAAGAACAAAATTGTTCATGAAAGAGGGTGTCGTTTAGAAAAAACGAACGATTAATGAATGGACCATTAAGAGAAAGAAAAAATTGCTGTTTTTTAAAAACGAACGAAAAAAGGAACAGTTAAAAATTGTTCAAACGAACTTGAAAAAAACTATAGTTTTTTTACTAAACGAACAAATTATTCAAAAGATTTTGAAACAAAGGATTAAGCTTTTTACTGAACAAACGATTTTTTGGAATACATTTTTTTAAATATATCGTTTTCTTTACTGAACGAATAATTTTATAGAACAAACAATTCCACTGAATGAAAAATTCTAATGAACGAACTATTCTACTGAATGAACGATTTTTCGTTCAGTGAGAAAACAAACAAAATAGATGGAAAATTAACGATAATTTTGAGAAGTAAATTTTTTGACTGATTAAAAAAAAACGTACGAAATGGGTCAACCACGAACAATGAACGAACAATGAAAGAACAATAAACGAAAGAAATGACAAGAAGTCGAACATGCACATCTCTATCCCTGTATCCACAGGCGAGCACTCCAGCAGATTCCAACTTTAATATGGAAGGAACGTGAAAATCATAAATTTCTGACACGAAAACAATTGCCTCAATTTATTTGTAGTTTAACCCAGACCTACGGAGAAATCGAAAGAATTTGTAAAATGTCGTTTTATAAACCTACAAATGGAAGGCTGCAGATTTTATTTATTGAATAATTATATAAAGCTCTTTAAAACTGTTCCCGAATATTTCATGGCTAATTATTTATTTTCGCAAATACTGAGATTTACGTAAAATAGTATAAAACCCATTGAAAAATTGTCAAGACGAGTGTTCGAATTGGTTGTAAAATTTTAAGTTTAGTGGGATAGCTAGTATAGCGAAAGTTTAGTGTCCAGGCAAAGTTGGGTTCCCAAGCTAGTATATACAATATTCAAACATAATTGGGGAGGTAAAAAGGGGGGGTGGCTCAAGGGGGGGGAGTGTGTTTTCTAGAAAATTACCGGTGTCGATCTAAACAAAATGACAATAAATTCCTTTATATTGTTTCAAAAAAGGAAAAACACCTAATGAGGCTTTTTTTATAATAATCCATTAAAATTCCAATTAAAGAAAATATCAAAAACTGTTTTCCCTAAGGTAGAGTTTTCAAGATTTGAAATAGATATTTTTCTTCTAACTCTAGTTCTTCTAGTTCTTGTATCTTTAATTGTATCCTGGCTCTGTACAACACCTGAAAACAGGGGTCTAATCAGTAAAATTTAAATATTCAATTTTAAAAATTTTAAAACTAAGGGGTTTTTATTCTTTTTAATCTATTAAATCATTTATCTTTACAAAATCGTCTTTGTTTTCTAAGAATATTTTTTTGTTTGAAATAGTTATATCTAAAAACATCTTCAAAAAACAGGCACTCGAAATGTTTTTTGATTCTTATCTTTTTTTCTAAACTAAAAAATGTAAAAACAATTATGTCCCAAATGATTTTAATAGTTTAAATGTAATTCTAAACTGTCTCTGTCATTGCATTTCTATTAATTTATTAAAAATTAAAATTTACTTAGTATTAGTATTCTGGGAATCATAAATCCCTGCTCAAATCCTTTCTGCTTTTTTTTTATTTCAGCCCCAATGTCTATTTATTTTATCATGTTTTTTATATGTATTGTATTTTATTTAATCTTTTTCTTTTTATCTATGTAAAATTTTGTATCTACCAGAGTTTCTAAAACTAAAGAACGAAAAGTTTTGACTTAAATTTTAAGTTCATGGTTAAATGCCACGTCTGACTTAATCTAAACCTGAACTTTAACCGTGTGGTTAAAATCTTGAAATCCCGCAATCCCTATTTGTCTATCATCATTCAGTGGTAAGCGGCATCCAACTAATTATGATATATTTAGAAGTAAAAACCGATTAAATGAATTTCACGTTTTAGATTAATTAATGTTTGCATGTAAACCCAAAATACTGTTGTAACTGGAAATATGTTTTGTCTTCCGTTACGTAAATAATTTAAAATTTAAGAAAACAGCTGATTATCAATACTTACGTAATAATTCTCCGTAAATCCTTTTCTGTGATTAGTTCAGATTTTTCCCGGGAAATTCAAATTTAAAAATGAGAAGGTTTAATATTTAAGTAGCTATTCATTATTTTACAGAATTTTTAACCTCGAACTTAAAATTTGCGCATTCTTTAGTTTTAGACTCTGGTCTCAGACTTTTAATAGTCCTCGGAAATAAAATCTTTAAAAAATTGAATGTCGAAAAAAATTATAATCATTTTTATTATTATTATAACTCTTGACAAAATAGAATGATAACATTAATAATGATTTAAATTTATCTAGAATGCAGTGCAGTGCACAGCTTGGACAATTTCTAAATTGTGACTTTGTTTTCTCTGCTTATACTTTACTCTTCTGCAAAGTAAGGAATTAAATTTTAAACGAGAATGTTCTATGAATAAACTTTAAACAAGAGAGTTCTATGAATAAACTTTAAACAAGAGAGTTCCATGAATAAACTTTAAACAAGAATGTTCTATGAATAAACTTTAAACAAGAATGTTCTATGAATAAACTTTAAACAAGAGAGTTCTATGAATAAACTTTAAACAAGAGAGTTCTATGGATAAACTTTAAACAAGAGAGATCTATGAATAAACTTTAAACAAGAGAGTTCTATGAATAAACAAACTTTAAACAAGAGAGTTCTATGGATAAACTTTAAACAAGAGAGTTCTATGAATAAACTTTAAACAAGAGAGTTCTATGGATAAACTTTAAACAAGAGAGTTCTATGGATAAACTTTAAACAAGAGAGTTCTATGAATAAACTTTAAACAAGAGAGTTCTATGAATAAACTTTAAACAAGAGAGTTCTATGAATAAACTTTAAACAAGAGAGTTCTATGTATAAACTTTATCTGAAATCATAACTGTTGTATTTAGTTAATCCGTTCAGAGAGCTAACTAATCCGTTTCTTTTCCAGTTTGACAGATTAATTTGTTTTATCCGGCCATCTCTAATGGGAAATCGCAAAAAAAAGTCAGCTGTTTTTTAGATTAAATCAAAAGTTTGCTGTTCAGGTCCAATTCATCCTGGACTTAATTACGAATTGATTCATTCGGTTTGTTTTTAAATTTGAATTTATTCGCATTTTTGTGTTTAATTTAAAGAGCATACGCCACAAAAAAAAGTAAAAAGGGAGAAAAGGCGAAAAATTTATGTTTAATTAGTCAAACTCGCAGCTTGATGTGCCTAGGATTGAAACTGTTAGATCATCGTGAATTTAAACAAAAATTCTAAAAGTTCATTTTTTTTCGTGCAAAACTTTGGTTAAGATGATTGACGTTTTCTTAAAACTTATTGTTTATTGAAACTAACTGTATTAGTGTACAATGTACATATATGATAATCTTTTCGAAAGAACTAGTTTTGCAACTTTTTTCTCTCGAGGTTTTGGTCGTGAGTTATTTATCATATTCTTTATTGGTTTTATGCATATTTTACACTAGAAAACTTTGATGCATTTTAAAAACTTATCAATTGAAACTTGTGGAAATTTTCTCTTTTAATGGAATTTTTTTTATCATCTTTTGATTTTAATAAATTGCTTTTGTTCAAAATAAATAAATGTTTGATAAAAATATTTATAAAAGTATAACAAACATATTTAATAGATTTATAAATATGTTATTTTGAAATTGCCTACTTATATTTAATAAATTAATGATTTAATTTCAACCCTATACCATTCTCTAAGGCCTTTTTCTAGGGTGGGGGGGGGGGGGGGGGGTAGGGCGTTTGGCGTCCTCCTAGGCTATACATAGATTCAGACCCCCCAGCCTGCACAGGGTTAAAGGGTACCATTGTCAATCAAACATGGCAAACTGTTACATATTTGACTTTAAACTTTTAACCATAAAGTACTTATTCACGCATTCTTAACATTTTCAGAAATTTGTATCATCCTTTTCAACAACATTTGATCGTCGACACAGCTCCTATAGTCTTTCTTATCTAATAAAAAACAAAGGCTATTGTTGACCTGTGTATACAAATAGATAGATTATCTTAAGAACCAGCATTCTTTAGTTTTCTGAAACAAAAGTTTAGGTAAGAAAATACTAATTTATTACGTTTTATAGGTTTTTTATTAAATACTTTGAAAGTCCTGTGACATAAACTTTTCTTAATATTTACATGTACATATATGTATATATGTACATGAATATGCTTCGTGTCACTTTAAAAAAAAACGATTGTAGCTTTAAAGGTTGCTTTATAAACATATAAAAACAAATTAACAACAAAACATATCAAATACAAATCATTTCGAATTACAAAACATATAAAAAACTTAACACATGAAATTAAAAAAAATCTAACACAAATAGTGTAAATTGCAAAATTTGAAAGTAGCTATGCTTTCCAAAAATGTTAATGAAATATTTTTAGCCATATTTTGTCCTAAAAGCTTTTTTAAAAAGAGATCTTTTAGAGGACATAATCGGGATGTTAAGTCAAACATATGTTCCCAATCATTTGTCCGGATTGGATACCTCCAGGCAAGGGTGTAATGCATCCTTGCCTGGAGGTGCCTATTAGCTGGCAACCATAGACTCTCCCTGCTTGTCCACCTTTCCTCTCTTCATCATCATTCCTTGGATCAATCCAAATAAAGCTTCTTTCTTATTGAGTTGAAAGCATGCACGCTTTTGCTGCGAGAGTTGTTGACAGCCGCCCCTCCGCCCTCCTGCATCCGTCAGGTGGATATAACTTCTTAACCAGATGTTGGCTTCAGATGTGTTTGAAGCCACAGGCCAATTGAAACAAGGTTTAGCGGATTTAAGACGCGGCTCAAATTCATTAAATTTGGACTAAATTTTCAGCCAAATTTGTTCAGCCGTTTGGCCAGCTATTATAACTAACACGTACATACATATATAATATATATAAATAAATATATATGAGTTTAGAGCTTTATATTGATATCCCTACTCCTGAGGAAAGACTTGGGTTGACTAAAGTGTAAAAAATGCATCTTTAACAATTTGTCTGATTTAAGTAATACATACATAATTCATATATTTGATATATTTGACCTTGGGACAACGACAACATTTTGTCCTTTGACAACAAGCCTCTGGATATATCTGGGTTACATCAGGGATAAAAAGGGATTGATCAGAAAATTGAGCACAGAAACAAATTATAGATTACAACAATACATGAAGTGTCCTGCACTGCCCGATGGAATTTTAAAAACACTTGTGGAAGATTCGAATGTTTTTAGCCTGTGTTAGGGTACACACTACCCACCCATGGGTTAGTAAGAAAAAATTCAGCCAATTTGGTCCAACCGTTTTGCCAGCTATAGCTAACATATATATGTAGTAGGTTTTTAGGGCGCTTCGCGCCCATCTTCTATTTAAATTGTGAACATGTTCTTTTTGTTTACATTTTAAAACAAAGAAGAAAAAAGTTTTGCGGATTTTTAAAAAAAAATTCGCGGATTTTCGAGAATTTAAATTTTTTTACAAAATTAAAAACCTTTAAAACACATTTTTTTTAAAATTATTATCATTTACAAACCTTCCCTGTGGTCGCGTGATGTCCCACAAAATTGTTTGGCCCGATCGGTTCAGCCGTTTTGACGTTTATTGGATACAAACAAACAGACAGACACCCAAACAAACAAGCCAAATTTATATATAGATATGAATGATGAGCTTTATTATATAGATGATTGTCTAATATTTAAGCGTAGTAACATATAATCTAGGTCCCAGCCTAATATTAACAGAATATAGTTCCCAGTCTAATAGTAACATAATCTATTTCCCAGTCTAATAGTAACAGAATATAGTTCCCAGCCTAATTAGTAACAGAATCTAGTTCCCAGCCTAATTAGTATCAGAATCTAGTTCCCAGTCTTATAGTAACAGAATGTAGTTCCCAGCCTAATAGTACATAATCTATTTCCCAGTCTAATAGCAATAGAATATAGTTCCCAGCCTAATTAGTAACAGAATCTAGTTCCCAGTCTTATATTAACAGAATCTAGTTCCCAGTCTAATAGTAACAGAATCTAGTTCCCAGTCTAATAGTAACAGAATCTAGTTCCCAGTCTAATAGTAACAGAATTTAGTTCCCAGCCTAATAGTAACATAATCTATTTCCCAGTCTAATAGTAACAGAATCTAGTTCCCAGTCTAATAGTAACATAATCTAATTCCCAGTCTAATAGTAACAGAATATAGTTCCCAGCCTAATTAGTAACAGAATCTAGTTCCCAGTCTAATAGTAACATAATCTATTTCCCAGTCTAATAGTAACAGAATCTAGTTCCCAGTCTAATAGTAACAGAATCTAGTTCCCAGCCTTATAGTAACAGAATATAGTTCCCAGCCTAATTAGTAACAGAATCTAGTTCCCAGTCTAATAGTAACAGAATATAGGTCCCAGCCTTATAGTAACAGAATATATTTCCCAGCCTAATTAGTAACAGAATCTAGTTCCCAGTCTAATAGTAACAGAATGTAGTTCCCAGCCTTATAGTAACAGAATATAGTTACCAGCCTAATTAGTAACAGAATCTAGTTCCCAGTCTAATAGTAACTGAATGTAGTTCCCAGCCTTATAGTAACAGAGAAGATCCAGTTCTTACCATCAACTAGGCTTCTTCCCAACTCGACTATTATTATTTGCTTTAATGTTAATGATTAAATAATAAAAAACGAGTGGAATTAAATATATATTTTATTTTTAAACATATTTTGTTTTCAGCTTCATAACAACAGAGTTAAGTATTTCTAAAGTAAATGTTGGATAATCCTTTGAAGAAATGACATTAGTTCCACAAATAGAATATTAAGAGATAATGGAAGATGAATAGAAATGAAACTGATAAACTTTAAAATTGAAGAATTTAACAATATATTATGAAAAGTTTAGACCCAGAGAGGTTTAAGATTATGTTCTGCCCAGCACTGTTTAATATCTTGTATCTTGACACAGGTTAATGGTTTACCGTCAACTGTCAACGGAGGAATCTTAACAAAACACAATTGGGATAGATTTTACAAAATGTTAAACTTTTAAGAAAGACTTTATTTATCACATATGACCATAAAGAGTTGACGGGGTAGAAAATGTTCACTTTTATCTAAAAAGTATTAAGATGAAACAAATAATTTATTACTAGAGATAAGCAACGTTTTAAGGTTCATTTTAATCATTCAGGGGTTTTCATCTAAAAGACAAAAAAATTCGTGTTTTCTCTTGAAGTTTTCATTCCTTGCATTCTGCAAAAGATTTACTCCGTTGAAAAAAGTTAACCAAAACAGAGAAAAAAATTTGCACAATATAAAAAAAGAACAATTTAAAAACAATCAAGTTTTTAATAGAATAAATATCTCAATAGAGTCTCTTGAAAGTAAAAGAAAGCTTGAATGTTGAAACTAAGTAAAACATGATGTCTAATATCTATACCTGTGTTATTGGTCCAGCCGGTTTAGCTGAATTCCTCCATCTGGAGAATATTGTGAATATTGTGTAAACAAACCATATGCACATCAAGGGTAGAGATGTGAAGAATATTTGAGCATTGGCTGGTGTAGTAGCATAGTCATCCATAGGGTTCATATACACACCCTAGATCATATATATATATATATATATATATAGTAGTACAGTCATTCATAGGGTTCATATACACACCCTAGATCATATATATAGTAGTATAGTCATCCATAGGGTTCATATACACACCCTAGATCATATATATATAGTAGCATAGTCATCCATAGGGTTCATATACACACCCTTGATCATATATATAGTAGTATAGTCATCCATAGGGTTCATATACACACCCTAGATCATATATACAGTAGTATAGTCATCCATAGGGTTCATATACACACCCTAGATCATATATATATAGTACCATAGTCATCCATAGGGTTCATATATACACACCCTAGATATATATATATATATAGTAGCATAGTCATCCATTGGGTTCATATACACACCCTAGATCATATATATAGTAGCATAGTCATCCATAGGGTTCATTTACACACCCTAGATTATATACAGTAGCATAGTCATCCATAGGGTTCATATAACACCCTAGATATATATATAATAGTATAGTCATCCATTGGGTTCATATACACACCCTAGATATATATAGTAGCATAGTCATCCATAGGGTTCACATACACACCCTAGATCATATATATATAGTAGCATAGTCATCCATAGGGTTCATATACACACCCTAGATATATATATATAGTAGCATAGTCATCCATAGGGTTCATATACACACCCTAGATATATAATATATATATATAGTAGCATAGTCATCCATAGGGCTCATATACATACCCTAGATATATATAGTAGCATAGTCATCCATAGGGTTCATATACACACCCTAGATCATATATATAGTAGCATAGTCATCCATAGGGAAGTAGTATAGTCATCCATAGGGTTCATATACACACCCTAGATCATATATATATAGTAGCATAGTCATCCATAGGGTTCATATACACACCCTAGATAATATATACAGTAGTATAGTCATCCATAGGGTTCATATACACACCCTATATCATATATATATAGTAGCATAGTCATCCATAGGGTTCATATATACACACCCTAGATATATATATATATAATAGCATAGTCATCCATTGGGTTCATATACACACCCTAGATCATATATATAGTAGCATAGTCATCCATAGGGTTCATATACACACCCTAGATATATATGTAGTAGCATATAGTAGCACTGTACAGTAGTTTACCTTGAGCATATAGTAGCTGAGAACACTGTACAGTGTACAGTAGTTTACCTTGAGCATATAGTAGCTGAAAACACTGTACAGTAGTGTATCTTGAGCATATAGTAACTGAGAGCACTGTACAGTGTACAGTAGTTTACCTTGAGCATATAGTAGCTGAGAGCACTGTACAGTAGTTTACCTTGAGCATATAGTAACTGAGAGCACTGTACAGTAGTTTACCTTGAGCATATAGTAGCTGAGAGCACTGTACAGTAGTTTACCTTGAGCATATAGTAGTTGAGAACACTGTACAGTATACAGACGTTTACCTTGAGCATATAGTAGCTGAGAGCACTGTTCTGCATTCCCGTATCTATTCCTATACTGATTATCTGACAGGTACAGTACACCCTTATTTATAAACGAAAGAAAATTGAAAAGGAATCAAATAATCGCCACAAACTCTTTAAATTTTAATTCTCTTATAATATTTGCAACATGATATTGTTGTCTTTTTAAATCTAAACTTCCACAGTTTAATAGTTTAAAATATCAATGGTTTCCATTCTACAACATCAAGCTTATTAGAAAATTACAATTTGTATTTATTAATCATGCAGTTCCTTTAGAAATTAAGAGAACAATAAGCTTTATAACCTTACTTGGGTATAATGGAATTTAGTAATTACTACAATATGTATCTCCTATATAAATATGTATATTCATAAAGGTAAAAGTTTCTTAGAAAATCTAATTTCTCTTCCTATGTAATCCTAGGTTTTGTCAGAACACAGGACCAGAACAGTTTTATCAAATGATTTAAAATATTATAGATACAGCACAGATATAACTACTTATAATAATGAAATAAGTTTGTTGAATGAATTGTTTATGTACTATTGTACTGTACTGTCCTGAGAATGAGTTAAACTACAGAAATGAGCTGTAATGAGAGCAGCCAGTGTACTTCCCACGGATAGAACTCCACAAGCAAAGAAATGTCTCCAGCTGAATATTGTGAAGAAGTATTTATATTGAAAGTAGTATATGAAGAGTGCACCTATTAATCCTACCACCATGATAGGTTTCCTGATTACAGACATTATTTCTCCAAACTTGGTGAACCTAGAACCTAGGCAAGTTAATTATAGATTTCAGACCTGTAATTATAGTTATTTACAAAAATACTACTCAGATAGAATAGATAAATAAGATAGGACAGATAGAATAGGTAAAGAAGATAGGACAGATAGAATAGATAAAGAAGATAGGACAGGTAGAATAGATAAAGAAGATAGGACAGATAGAATAGGTAAAGAAGATAGGACAGATAGAATAGATAAAGAAGATAGGACAGATAGAATAGATAAAGAAGATAGGACAGATAGAATAGGTAAAGAAGATAGGACAGATAGAATAGATAAAGAAGATAGGACAGGTAGAATAGATAAAGAAGATAGGACAGATAGAATAGATAAAGAAGATAGGACAGGTAGAATAGATAAAGAAGATAGGACAGATAGAATAGGTAAAGAACATAGGACAGATAGAATAGGTAAAGAAGATAGGACAGGTAGAATAGGTAAAGAAGATAGGACAGATAGAATAGATAAATAAGATAGGACAGATAGAATAGGTAAAGAAGATAGGACAGATAGAATAGGTAAAGAAGATAGGACAGGTAGAATAGATAAAGAAAATAGGACAGATAGAATAGGTAAAGAAGATAGGACAGATAGAATAGATAAATAAGATAGGACAGATAGAATAGGTAAAGAAGATAGGACAGATAGAATAGATAAAGAAGATAGGACAGGTAGAATAGATAAAGAAGATAGGACAGATATAATAGGTAAAGAAGATAGGACAGATAGAATAGATAAAGAAGATAGGACAGATAGAATAGGTAAAGAAGATAGGACAGATAGAATAGGTAAAGAAGATAGGACAGATAGAATAGGTAAAGAAGATAGGACAGATAGAATAGATAAAGAAGATAGGACAGATAGAATAGGTAAAGAAGATAGGACAGATAGAATAGGTAAAGAAGATAGGACAGATATAATAGATAAAGAAGATAGGACAGGTAGAATAGATAAAGAAGATAGGACAGATAGAATAGGTAAAGAAGATTGGACAGATAGAATAGATAAAGAAGATAGGACAGATAGAATAGATAAAGTAGATAGGACAGATAGAATAGATAAATAAGATAGGACAGGTAGAATAGGTAAAGAAGATAGGACAGTAGAAAAAAGGACATGGTATAGTGTATGTAGACTGGGTAGATCGAGTATTTCTGATATATGGAAGATATGGAAGATATGGAAGATATGGAAGATATGGAACTGGAAGACAGGATAGGCAGATAGAAAATATCTTATAGACCCGGCTCTCTCCCCCCCCTTTTAAATTTTTACATATGGTAAAAGTATTTTAGAAGTCAGACCCATGAGAAAATTAAAAGTCGAAAATGATTTTCCGATGACAACGAACCAGAGTTAATTTGAGAAGATTGTCATCAAGCATATAAATACTATAAAGAATCTGTTTTTAAATACCCATGATACCCCATATTCAAGGAATTAAAAATAAGGAAACACATTTTAAAATTGAGAGTATTATTGAGTTGAACAATTTGAGTCCCAGCAAGATTTGCTTAGATTTCCAAGGTTAGTTTATTATGCGTAACAGTGTAATAGATACAAAATCCGAATTGATAAAGAGAGTGTAGCGTGAATATAAATATTAGAAACTAACCTGCATAAATCCCTATAATTATTGGTAAAATTAGAGCTGCTGAATACTTGAGTATATATGTACCAGGAACCTGGATTGGTTGAAGGTTAGTATCTGTATTAAGGAAACCTCCTAGGCTCATATTCCAGAATATTATAGTAAACGGACTCAATATAGTACTCAGTATCACCAGCAGCACGGAGAGGGAGAGATCCCCACACAATATATGGGAAAAATAGGTTGATGCTGTTGCTCCTAAAATATCAAATATATTGATGCTGTTGCTCCTAAAATATCAAATATATTGATGCTGTTGCTCCTAAAATATCAAATATATTGATGCTGTTGCTCCTAAAATATCAAATATATTGATGCTGTTGCTCCTAAAATATCAAATATATTGATGCTGTTGCTCCTAAAACATCAAATATATTGATGCTGTTGCTCCTAAAATATCAAATATATTGATGCTGTTGCTCCTAAAATTATCAAATATATTGATGATGCTGCTCCTAAAAATATCTAATATATTGATGCTGTTGCTCCTAAAATTATCAAATATATTGATGATGCTGCTCCTAAAAATATTTAATATATTGATGCTGTTGCTCCTAAAATATCAAATATATTGATGCTGTTGCTCCTAAAAATATAAAATATATTGACGCTGTTGCTCCTGAAAATATGAAAAATATTGATGCTGTTGCTCCTGAAATATCGAATATATTGATGCTGTTGCTCCTAAAATTATCAAATATATTGATGATGCTGCTCCTAAAAATATCTAATATATTGATGATGTTGCTCCTAAAAATATCAAATATATTGATGCTGTTGCTCCTAAAATATCAAATATATTGATGTGGTAAAAATTGCTAAGAAATTGATAAAATGGAATTCCTGTAATACGTCCAATCATAAAATAATTTTTGATTGTTTTGTGGAAAAGATATTGAAAATGAATTTCATTGGTAAATTGAAATTAGATGGATTAGAATAAGAAAAATTAGAATTAGAATTGGACAGATTATAATTAGATAGATTAGAGTTAGACAGACTGTAATTGGACAGATTATAATTAGATAGATTAGAATTAGATAGATTAGAATTAGATAGATTATAATTAGATATATGAGACTAAGAAAGATTAGAATTAGATAGATAAAAATTAGATAGATTAGAATTAGATAGATTATAATTAGATAGACTAGAATTAGCTAGATTAGAATAAGAAAGATTATAATTAGATAGATTAGAATAAGATAGATTAGAATTAGCTAGATTCGAATTAGCTAGATTAGAATAAGAAAGATTAGAATTAGATAGATTAGAATAAGATAGATTATAATCAGCTAGATTATAATTAGCTAGATTATAATTAGCTAGATTAGAATAAGATAGACTAGAATTAGATAGATTAGAATTAGCTAGATTAGAATTAGCTAGATTAGAATAAGAAAGATTATAATGTATAGAAGTATACCTGGGGATATACCAAGAAGGAAAAGTCCTATCCTAGTAAGATCTACGATCATATTACACTCTACATCATGTCTAAAGATGAGCTGGCCAAGAGTAAAGGATATTAGTGGAACATAAACTGTCTGGCACAATAATCCAACCTGGACATAATTCATTTCTCTTCTTGATTCTACAGCACAATAATTCAACCTGAACATAATTCATTTCTCTTCTTAATTCTACAGCACAATAATTCAATCTGAACATAATTCATTTCTCTTCTTGATTCTACAGCACAACAATCCAACCTGAACATAATTCATTTCTCTTCTTAATTCTACAGCACAATAATTCAACCTGAACATAATTCATTTCTCTTATTAATTATACAGCACAATAATTCAACCTGAACATAATTCATTTCTCTTCTTGATTCTACAGCACAATAATTCAACCTGAACATAATTCATTTCTCTTCTTTATTCTCCAGCGCAATAATTCAACCTGAACATAATTCATTTCTCTTCTTGATTCTACAGCACAATAATCCAACCTGAACATAATTCATTTCTCTTCTTGATTCTACGGCACAATAATTCAACCTGAACATAATTCATTTATCTTCTTGATTCTACAGCACAATAATCCAACCTGAACATAATTCATTTCTCTTCTTGCTGTAGGCGCAATTTCAATAAGTTGAGGGGCGTGTTGGATTCACAAACAATAGTACACCTTAAACCTTGGACTAATCAAGGATTTCGTTCGAATCCTAAATCAGAGACGCGTGTAGTTGTTGAACCTTGATTTGTAACCTGTTTTATATTTGAAAAATTTTAAGATTTACTTTATTTAGAAATAGCAAAAATTAATATTTTTATTCGAATTTTGTAACACTGCTTTGGACATTTTCGAATTATACATGAGTGTTGAGTTTTACGGCAATCTACAGAAAAATATTCGAGAGCTGTCTGGTCTTGATGATAAGTCAAAGGTTTAAAAGGTACCGTTGTGAATCAGGAATTGCCATCTATGCCTGAAGGTTCACTTGAAATTATGTTTAATAAATGTCTAAAATTACCTTCCAGGCAGTTAAAGATAGAAGAGATGATGCGCAGGTAAGTTGTCTACAGGAGGAAATAATATCCTTATATACTCCTCGAACCTCAGATTCATCTATACCAGTTCCAATCATAAAGTTAGCAAAGCAGAGAGCAAGCAGGGTCATCACTCTAGATAATCATATCATGGGATATATTTCCTTAAATCCAAACATTACAACATACATTATTACAACTTTGTAATCCTTCAGTAAAATCTATTTTTAAAGGGATTGTTTCCTTATATTACGTATTTTCTCAAATAGCTTGAGTTCTATACTGATTCTTTTCGGATTGAAACAGAAAGAAATTGAGTTTATGCCACAAATTAAAATATTTTAATCCCTATATCTTTGCAACCGGATGGTGTAAACCTTTGATATTTCAAATTTAGATTATTTGAGCTCACAGAATTTATAGTTTGAAATATCTAAGGTCTACTACATCGAGTTGCAAAGATATAGAGATTAGAAAATCAGAGTTTGTGGAGGAGACTCAATTCCATTCTGGGCATTCTGGATCTTAGGAACAGCTTTGATTGCATGGTAAGATAGGCCTAATATAATTAAAGATATTGGAAAATATTAAGATTTTTTTAATGAAGATAACCTTGAAAATCCTTTTGCCTCGAGTTCATCTTTAGATAAATTTTCTGACATGAATATCGGAAACTGAACCTCTAAACCTCCAGACTGAGCCTCGAATCCCTGGACATCAGCCTCATGAACTACTGGAGTAAAGGTGAGGTCATCTATCCCAGTTCTAATCATCTCATCTCTTAATAGAAAACTTGATAACGTAGAACAAATGAAGAAAACTTGGCAACATAGAACAAATCAAGAAAACTTGACAACATAGAACAAATCAAGAAAACTTGGCAACATAGAACAAATCAAGAAAACTTGACAACATAGAACAAATCAAGAAAACTTGACGACATAGAACAAATCAAGAAATCTTGACAACATAGAACAAATTAAGAAAACTTGACAACATAGAACAAATCAAGAGAATTTGACAACATAGTACAAATCGAGAAATTTTGACAACATAGAACAAATCAAGAAAACCTGACAACACAGAACAAATCAACAAAACTTGAGAACATAGAGCAAATCAAGAAAACTTGACAACATATAACAAATCAAGAAAACTTGACAACATAGAACAAATCAAGAAAACTTGACAACATAGAACAAATCAAGAAATCTTGACACCATGGAACAAATCAAGAAAACTTGACAACATAGAACAAATCAAGAAAACTTGAAAACAAGAACCAATCAATAGTACTCAGTTTCTAATAATAGAACAAAACGATCTATAAAAAACTGAATACTCTAATTGCTCTACTCAGACGCTACTTTTCTAATCCTGATCGGTTGAGCCGTAGACTACCGTAGGCGTAGTGATATTAATTGGATACAAACAAACAAACACCCAAACAGAAAACAAACAAACAAACAGACAAATCAATTAAAAACATATAATTAATATAAATCTTTAATATTTACGTTGAAATATTTGTCCAGCTCTGTTTTCCAACGATAAGAATATCTGAGTATGTATCAGACAGATCCATAATATTCTGGTATTCATCTACTCCGTACTGTAGCAGGGTACCCTGAGCTTCAAGCTGTAGTATACTGTATCCAGCATTCAATAGTAGAGAACCTACACATTTTATTCATTTATTATACAGTGTATCCGTATATAAAAAGTAGTAATCTCTGTTTGTTTGTTTATATGTCCGATCATAACTCATGAATTCCTGGACCGATTTGCCTCAAAAATTGATAAGAGAACTCGGGAGTACGTCTAGAATGTTCTTGGTATTTATATTCTAAATTGAGTGGATCGACATTTATCAGGAAAAATAGCTAAAACCGTAATTTAAAACCAAGTGCTGGTAAACGGCGGAAGTAAGTATGAGTCCCCTGGCCAACACTGAGGAAAATACGAGGAAAAGAGAAATAACTTAATAATGAGGAAAATAAGAGGAAAAGAGAAATAACCTTAATAATCAGGAAAATACGAGGAAGAGAAATAACTTTAACAATGAGGAAAATACGAGAAAAAGAGAAATAACTTTAACAATCAGGAAAATACGAAAAAAAGAGAAATAACCTTAATAATAAGGAAAATAAAAGGAAAAGAGAAATAACATTATTAATGAGGAAAACGAGAGGAAAAGAGAAATAACCTTTTTATAAGGAAAATACTAGGAAAAGAGAAATAACCTTTATAATGAGGAACATATGAGAAAAAGAGAAATAACTTTAACAATGAGGAAAATACGTGAAAAAGAGAAATAACCTTAGCAATGAGGAAAATACGAGAAAAAGAGAAATAACCTTAATAATAAGGAAAATAAGAGGAAAAGAGAAATAACATTAGTAATGAGGAAAACAAGAGGAAAAGAGAAGTAACCTTTTTATAAGGAAAATACTAGGAAAAGAGAAATAACCTTTATAATGAGGAAAATATGAGAGAAAGAGAAATAACTTTAACAATGAGGAAAATACGAGAAAAAGAGAAATAATCTTTTTATGAGGAAAATAATAAAAGAGAAATGGGTTTTATGTTTATTTTGGAAACTTCATCTAACTTTAGAAAAACTTAATTAATTGCTCATTTTACCTGAAGGGTAGTAATTCTTCTGTCTAATGCATCGTATTCCAAAATTGAAAGAGGTAACTTGAATATTGTAAATCTAAAGTAAAGGAAATAATCTGTATTATTATTCCAAAATAAAAATAAACATTGGGGTATGTTTTCTTATGATGATTAAAATCCGAATTGAAGACTAAAGGAGAAACAAAGAACTTTAAATTCATTATCTTGTCTCTGTAAAATATCAGTTTTATATACGGGGTTTTGTGTTTAATCTATTTATTGATTTGATAGATTGCTGCAAGTATTTACTCTTACAAAGTAATGTTTACTTCTTTAAACTTTGAATTTATATTATATAAAAACGAGTTTGGTTTCAATAAATTTATTTTTAAAATATTCTAAATTAGCAAAAGAACTCGGCGTTGCCCGTGAAATTCAAAACTGGTCAACCACTTGACAGAAAACTAGGGTTTAACTGTATAAGATTTTGAAATGATATTGAAAAAGAACCTGATGAGGAACTGACATATTTAACCATATCGGATCTGAGCTTGGAACACAGGGTGAAATATCGTCTATCTCGACGCAAAGCTTGTAATCGTTCTGAGCTTTATCCTGGTAAATCTGAATTATCGCAACCGGATATCCCTTCTCCCACATTCTGTTATGACAGCTCATGTTGAAGCGTGACAGCTCTCCAATCCTGGAAATTTAGTTTTGATTTCAACTGACTAGATTTCGTCACGAAAAATAGTTTTGATATAAACTTACTTTGTATGGAGACCGGTTATTGGTGAGAAAAAGCAGTCGACAGCATTAATTAGAACACAGTCAACAACTTTAAAATATGAGATAATTAAAAGCAAAATAAGTTTCCCACACATTTTGCGAATTTTACATAACTAATTTCCCGCATTCGTGATGGGAAGTATTAGATTTTAAATTTTATGTACAAGCATTTAAAATGCTAATTCCAAGTTACAAAAATTCAGATTAATGATCAAATTTAAAGTTCTTATCTTATGAAACTGTTAAAAACTGTGGATAAAAATCATTATGATTGAAAAGGAAAGAATATTTTGATCACTGGACATTGTCTTGCACAATGTACGTACATAATCGAAAAACTCTGAAATAGAAAGACGACTTTTATGATAAAATTATAACTTTTAAAAGGCTTATAAGCATGAGACACTGCAATTGTGCAGGTGAAACAGACCCATTTCACTAAATTAGTAATTTGATAAGTTTCTAGAAAAACAAAATCAAAAACAGTTCATCATTGTAATAATGTCGTGTTCCTATTTCATTGTTTTCTGATTATCACTGTAAGACGAGACATCCCGTAAACGATTTTAAGCATTAGTGTCCTAATATGATCAAATTCAAAGGAGACTCTTTTCACTTTTCTGGGATGAAGAACATAAGTTTGATTTTCAAACACCATACAGTTTACTCATGAACTCCCATGAACTTTTCAGACATCGAAAGAATTTATAAAATATCGTTTTCTAAACTTATTGATAATAAGTTTCTGCAGATACTTTTTTTTTAACCTTAAACAGGCCGGGGGGGTGGGCGGCGTTTGGCGCCCTTTCCCCTGTAGATTTTTTTGTCCTTGCACTACCATTTTTGACACTATCACCGTGAATTTTTTTGACTTTCAATGAATAGTAATTTAAAGGATTTTAAGTTAAATTTTTTAAATTTAAAGAGTAGGGTAAAGGGCGGAAAAAAAATTATATTTTTAAAAAACCCTTAAAAAATGTATGCAGAAACATGTGTCACACTTTGATATTTGTTTAAAACAAACAAATATTTTTTTCTCACTTTTTTTACCCTTTTGTAGGCTTTTTTTTCAACCCTCCCTAGCACCCAAACTATACAAGTTATCGGTCTAATTTTTCAAAAAATTGGGCTATGTGACATGCATTTCGCAAGGTTTGACTGTAAGAATAACTTTGCAGGGTTGAGTCTTTGCCACAAATCCTATTTTTGTAATCCCTGTATCTTGCAACCCACGGTTTTCATCATCAGGTTACAAATAATATAATAATAATAAAAAATAATTGTAAAAAGAGGGAAGCTTTTCTAATTATTTTTTCGAGCAGAGTTTGCAAGTTGGAATATTTTATTATTAATATATTCAAATTAATCATCATACTTAAGTAAATTTAATTTTCTAAACCAAATACCGAATATATTTCTTGCTCATTATTTCGTAAATTTGATATACCTTTTTGTTTACTTTTAGAAACCCCAATCCCAAGCTATAATACAATATTCCAGATAGGGACGAAACATACAACTATATACAGGGTGTCCCAATAAACATGGGAATTCCCGTTTTTATTGGGACACCTTGTAGTAAAAGAAAAGTTTCTTCAAGCAGAATATTCTAAGCAAAAAAATAAGATGGTTACCATATGCCAGTTTATATTTAGATTTGTTAAAATAGGATTTCCAGCAAGGGGTATTCAGGAATTTGTCCGGAGGGGGTTCAATTATTTGTTTATCTTTCCAGGAGAGGGGGGGGGGGGGCTCAGCACCCATTGGGGCCTGAAAGCCCCCTGAAATCTATAGATTTCACTGGTCCAGGGGGGCTTAGCCCCCATAGCCCCCCCCCCTAATTCTCAGGTTCATCAAATTTAAACCCTATTCTTTCCAGGTTAAATTCTTTAATTTTTAAACCTAAAGATCTAAAGGTATGGATTTGAGAATTTGAGTTTGTGGCAAAGACCCTAGTTTGTAACAGTTCTTATGTATTTAAAGACTAAAATGGAAGCATATTATTATCATATTGGAAATTTGTCTAAACAAACCCTGATCGAACAATTATCAAAAAGACATTGGTCTAAAAATTAAATTGATAAAGGTTTTTTCTTTTTTAGTGTTTTATGAGGTATCGTTTTATTCAAATAAATTTGTTTTAGTGTTTTTCTATAGACATGCCATACCATGAACTAAATACTAAAAAAAATTTAAAAATAATATCGAAACATATATATGAAGGGATTGAAGGGCGTATTTCAAGATTAAGAAGTCGATTAACGGGATTTAATTCAAGATATTATAAACCTGTAGTTGACATTTGGATTAGATGCATACATAGAATATAGTCTTATTTACGACAGAGGGTATTCAAAAAAATATTTTGTAAATATTTTTTAACGACGAGAGTCAAGGAATTTTAAATAAAGTAAAAACAGCTTTTCTATATAAGCACTTTTTATTTGAATGTAGACTAAACTTCTTTTAGCTAGATTTAAGGAATGCTCTCAAAATCTTCACATTAAAAAATCGTTTTAATCGGACAACCCTTAAATGTTGCATAATGGAATGTAAAGGCGAGTATTTCGAATTATAAAGTCTGTTCAGTTTATCAGTAAAAAAAGTTGGAAGTTTAAAGAAAGCCGACATTTTTTCAAGATTTTTTTAAAAATTGTATATATCATATATATTATATTCATTTTTGCAATTAACTCACGTTTGATTACATTTCATTTATTTATCTATCTATCTATCCTATTTAAATATCTTTGAGTCTAATTTAATACCGAAGCAAAGTACGAGTATATTGCTATTGTCTCGGTTTGGTTTGGTTTACAGTCGTGATTATGTTCTTGGTTAGGCTCTATGACCATAAATTGTAAAAGTTCAACGTGTCTAACCCGTTTTAACTTTTATCTGGTCGTGTATCAAAGATATTTGTATACGGGGTGTCAGAAGTTCTTATCTGATGTAAATTTTGAATAAAAACGCATTGTTACAATATATTTCAAAGTTTTGACCACCTCTCACTTGTATCTAGGCTGCTATAAAATGTCGAAATATATATCAGACCAGGTTGACTTTTAAGAGTCACAATGTCTTCGCCTTTTATTTTACCTCTCTAACTCACTTATATTTTTTTGATAGCACTAGACATGAACATTTTAGAATTTAAAAGTAACTTTTTTAGCTTTATGAAAGTTATTGCGCGAGAGCCTGTAACCTTTGGACCACAGGGCCAAATTAAGTCCCAAAATTGCATTCAGTCATCTTAACATTTATTTAAATGAAAAAATAGCAAGACAAAGTAAACTCTGTAGTTTCGAGATCCTTTTTAATTCGTTTTTTAGATATTTTTGGCCCACAAAAAAAACCATATATATATGACTTTATAAAGTCTAACTTAACATAAATCGAAATTCTTTGCAAAAATTGACTGTTAGTTCATATCGTTTAGATCTATATCTTTTGCCAAATAAAACAAAAATCCAACTTTTGAAAAGTGAAACCTCTTAAAGCCGAAAAGTCGACGTGAATCAATTACTTTGGTTGTCTGTGCCAGAACCCATGGGTAAGGTGTATGGTCGATTAGAATTTCTATTTATAATTTTGAAAATCCACCTCGTGATTTTAAGGAAAATCTACGAAAATATTTATTTTTGTAATTTCAAAAAGTTGGAAATATTTGCAAAGATAGTTTAGTAACAAACGCAATGATGTTCCTTGTGTACAGTGTACAGTGTACACTCTTAGCTAAGCTTTCGGTGTGTTACTGCTGTAATCTGCTGTACATACATTGACAGACGATATAGTAGCGATTAGTGGACAGTGTGTATACCCTTTATAGTTTATAATTTACAAGTTATTGTTACAAAGCTGTAGTTAAAAACAGGTTAAAATATTGATAAAATGCAGGTTGTCTGAATGCAACTTTTCGCTGAAAATCCTGATTTGCATTTTCCGATTTGTTCCGGGTATATTTTACAGCGGCAACTATTTCAATGCTATGATTATTTCTTTTTAAAGATCAACTGAGAAAAGTTCACCAAAATATAGTTTTTAATTCTTATATTACATATTTCAGCTTTTAATTTTCACATTTTATTCATAAAGAAATTCAGGCGCGCAGTCATTCATCTAGGAGGGGCAAAGAGCAATTATTTTTTTTTAGTTGGGGGAAATCTCTAATCTTTGTTTTTGGGGCAAATTTTATTTTGGATGGCTTTTTTCAGTTTGGTGAATTTTGTGTATGGAAATCTTAAATCTTGATTTTTGGGTAAAATTTTTATTTATTTTTTTTAAATATATAAAGGGCCATTTTTCTAAACTAGTTATTTTTTAGGGCCAAAACTTCTTAATTTTTTAGCATTATCAAAATCAAATAGAGGCATTTTTTAAGATAGGGCTGTAAATTTTAAAGTTGGTTGTAATTATGGACCATTTGGGGATAAAAAATTAAAGGAATTGAGTAGTTGCCACAAACTCTGATTTTCCAATAATTATATGCTTACAACCCAATGTCATAGACCTTTGATATTTTAAACTATGAATTCTGTTAGATCCAATAATCTAAGTTTTAAATACCAAAGGTTTACACCATCAGGTTGCAGACCTATAGGGATTAAAAAAACTGAAATTGTGGGAAGGACTCTATTCCTTCAGGTGCAAATTAAAAATTCTTAAAAAAGAAGGGTTACTAATGTTGGATAAAGGGGCAAATTTTAAAAATCCAAATTTGGAGGCATCTTTTAAAGAAAGAGGGAAAATAAGAAGAATCTGAGCTTTTATTGAAAAATGTTATAGTTGAATTTGAGTTTGCTGAATTTTAGTTATTTTTTAGCCTGAATCATCATTAACTTGGCGTTTCTGAATATTTAATATTTGACGTAGATCTTAATTTTGATTTTGTTACTCGGAATTAAGAAATATTTTTAGAATTATTTACTTTTTTAATTCATTTTTTCATCTCTTTACTCTCAATTCTGTTCAATGTTAATGAACAAATTAATATGAACTAGGAAACTTATCTTAACAAATCCCCTCCCCCCTATAACTTCCATATTTTCTTAGCAATTATTTGAGATAAGTCTAGTAAACACTGGAATCTTCCCACAGAGCCCATACAAAGTCAAATATAATATGATATATATATATATATAAATATATATATATATATATATATTATATAATATATATGGATATACATAAGATTTTACGCGCAACACCTAGCGACGCAACCTACCGCACCCAACAAGTATATAAGAGAGCGTCAGTAACGCCGGTAATCATTCTGAAAAGTATCCAGGATGCGTCACCTTCTCCCCCTCCCTCTCCTTTTCTCACTTGCTAGCGCCCAGTTCGTCTTCTTCGGAGGCAACCAGGCTCCCAGGTTTGGAGGACAACCTTCCCTCCAACCCCAACCCTTCAGATCCCAACAATTCCAGTCCCAACCCTTTCAATCCCAACAGTTTCAATCCCGTCCTTCTCAACCCTTGAGGTTCGGTGTCAGCTCTTCTCCCGCCTTCTCCAACTCCGTCCCAACCGCCGCTGCATCTTCAGCATCTGCTGGAGCCAAGGGAAACTATCAATGGGGCGGAAAGAACTTCCTCCTGACCTGGAGAAATGGGCGGAGCGACTTTGCCTGGTCTGAGGGCGTTTCCTTCTGTAGGTCCCAAGGGATGCAGCTTGTGTCTCTGGACTCAGCTGAGAAGGCAGATCACTTCTTGGGACTGATCGGTAGTGATCGTTCTCCGTACTCCTGGGTCGGAGGAGAGGTTAGCGGAGATTCTAGAACCCTGAGCTGGTTGAACGGAAAGACCGATGATGTGAGGAAAGGACAGCATCCCTGGTCCTTCACAGGACGTACAGGTCCTCAACCTGATGGAGGAGAGAGGTGTCTCGCTATTCTTAACAATACTTACAGGTATAATACATTTGAATTAAATAAATGGTGCATCTTTTTCTTGCAAGAGAAATTGAACTTTAATGCCTCGCTTGAATTTTAACAACTAAAGCTACATATTAAAGCGGAGAAAGTCGTCTTCAATATTTTCTTAAAGTGGCAAACAACAAAATTGATCAGATTCTTGTAGATAAAACCGCTAGACTGTTCACATTTTCTCCGTTTTTTTCGATTCTCAGTATCACAGTCGTTAACAAAAGTTACTTGTTTAAAAAGATTTGGAAATCTTGGCGATAAATGCGAACAATTCATGAGAATTTGGTTTTCAGCATATTTTCCGCGCCGCCTGGTGCAAGAAATATCACGTATTTTTTGTTAAAATATTCTTTTCTTGTCATTCTTTATTTTGTTCTCACTTTCAAACTACATTTTGTTCTCACTTTCAAACTACATTTTGTTCTCACTTTCAAACTACAATTTGTTCTCATTTTCAAACTACATTTTGTTCTAATTTTCAAACTACATTTTGTTCTCACTTTCCAACTACATTTTGTTTTCACTTTCAAACTACATTTTGTTCTACTTTTCAAACTACACTTTGTTCTCACTTTCAAACTACATTTTGTTCTCATTTTTAAACTACATTTTGTTCTCACTTTCAAACTACACTTTGTTCTCATTTTCAAACTACATTTTGTTCTCACTTTCAAACTACAACAGTTCTCTGTTAGTCTCAATATCTAGATCTTAGAATATTTAAATTTTTCAAATATTTAAACAATACAGTATATAACGTTTACAGTGCACCAGCAGGGGAGGTTAGGGATGCACCTTCTCAAATGGACTCAAAAATTCTACAAATCTACTAAAAGCAACCCATATTTTAAAACGTTGAATAATCTATTACAATTAAAAGTCAAAAGTTAAAAAAAAACTTTAAATTTTAAATATTTTATTTTTCAGGGACGGTGTGAAGTTTCACGACGTAGCCTGTCATCATAAGAAACCAGTTATCTGCGAGGAATAGACGAACAGACGAATAGACGAATAGATGAATAGATTAAAGAGAAGAATAGATGAAAATCTATTTACTCAACAAATGCAAGTTTATTCATGAAACGCCGAAGGAGGTTAAGCTCTGAATTATTTATATATTTATAACAAATATAAACTGTGGTTATTTATAAAACTAAATAAAAGATCCAACAGTATACATTTTCTATAGTTTAGTTCAAGCAGTAACATCTCTTTTTTAAAATATGTGAAATCGAGTCAAATGATGATGCACCTAGGATACACGTTTTTTCTGTTTAATATAAAAAAATCTCAGATTATAGTCTTGTGTTATATATATAAGGAAGAAGAATTCTTATTCGATATTAGAAAATTAATCAAAGTAGAAAATTTGTTCCAGAAAAAAGAAGATATCTAATTAAAGGGACTGTAAGCGTAATTTCACGTGACCCTCCAGGCAAAGAGGGGAATGTCCGATTTACAACGGTATCCTTTCAACCTTTGACTGATCAATGATTGTAGAGATCTGTGTGTGAACTCAACACAGCTAACGCTATACTCGAAAATCTGGAATATTATTTGATCAAAACGGATAAAAAAATCGAATATAAATATATTTTTTTATCGACTTCCAGAGACTAATTTTCAATTTTTGTTTGATTATTTTTTGCAAAGAAAGTGTTCAACAATTTCAGCGTTTAGATAAGTCTATCCTCCTTTATCGTCCAAAGGTTTAAAGGGAACTGTTGTGACACGCCACTCTGCAAACAGAGTCACTTAAATTTACGCCTACAGTCCCTTTAAGAAAGTAAAAAAAAATAAGAAATAAAAGGAAATCCAGGAAAATGCAGGAAAATAACAACAATAATATAAAAGAATATAAAGGTTAAAAAAAGTTTATATAATAAAAAACAAATAATAGTACCAAAAAAACATACTGTTACTCAATAAAGCTTGTCAGATGCTAATTTAAATAAAACCTTTCTTTACCCTTACAAAAAAATTATTTCAGAGGGGAATTTCCCCCCCCCCCCAAAAAAAAACTTATTTATGCCAACCTCGTTGATATTTGAAAATAACATGTATGCGTGGTTCATTTAGCCATCCTATTGATCCACAATCCGTCCATTCCCGCGCCCCGGACTGACGAGGGCGCTTCGTTTGGCTTATTCAGTTTGAATTCAATCAGAGTTTGGTCTAAAATTCAACAATCTATACACTCAAAGAGTTGTCTTATTTAACTTTTTTATCTAAATGCATCCGTCGCTAAACAACATTCATGTTTAATTGATAAAAAGCAAAAGAAAGTCTCAGCTTGCCAGGACAAGGACCGAACTGATAAATCACCGTGCCCGAGGTCAAACAGCATAGAGTCAAACGACCTAGGGTCAAACAGCATGAGGTCAAACGACAAACGGTCAAAAACAGGACAAAGGATAAAACGACAAAGGGTAAAAATGACAAAAATTCTTCTTTTTAATTTTGTCTTTTAAAGTAATAAAATGTCTCTCACCTTACTTTGAGTTAGATTGGGTTAAGACAATTCCAGGGCCGAGCGGTGCGGCTCGGATGGGTTAGGAGGCCCCAGGGGGTCTTAAATTTTAAATTATGTGCTGTCTCTCGAAAAAAATGTTTGCCCGTTTGTCGCACTTTTTGACCCTATATCGTTTTACCCTAAGTCGTTTGACCCCATGGCATTTAATAATTTGACCCAAAAACGTTTGACCCATGACATTTAATTATTTGATCCAAAAACGTTTGACCCCATGGCATTTGATGATTTGACCCTGAAACGTTTGACCCCCTAATGTCAGTTAATCATTTCAGTGGAGAAATAATTTGATAAAGAATTATCTATCATTTTGACATGCATAGCTAGAAAACTTTTCCATAGTATGAAATCATTAATATATCATGGTGAGCCATTAAGTTTAAACGTTTTTATAGGAAAGTATATTTCACATTTATTTATAAATAACAATATATATCATATGTAACAATTATATAATTTTAAACATATTTACAGGAATTATCACATAGCATTTTACAAAAATGTATGACAAATTGAATATTTAAGCCAATTTACAATTGATTTTGAGAAATTTTCTAAACAATTTTTTACTTTTCTGTTTCAGAATTTTGCAGAGTTTCGGTTCTAAAATTCTCTTGTAAATATTATATATCTATATTTTTTTATATGGCTTCAGAACCCTGTAATACTAGACGTGTATAGTACAGTATGGAACGTTTTGTTTTCCTTCACGTTTATTGATCAATAAAAATATAGAAATTTTCAATTAGTTTTGTGCCAGTGAAACTTTAAAGTTTCTGGAAGGTACATTGGTTTTCATTGTCCAAAATTATTTCATTAAATACACAATTACTAACTTGCTAAATTGTCAACTTTACTATTCAGTTCCTTTTGTATGCAGAGAAGAAAATCAAATAATCAATTAAATGAATTAAAAATAAAGTATTCTTGAAACAAAAATATAACCTTTTTTGACCCAAAACTCTAAACATTTAAATTTGTTGTCAACAAAAGTGTATTTCTATTCCAAAATGGTTTTATTTAGATTGGTTAAGTTTAAAGTTTTAAATATGTTATAACAGTTAAATCACTAAATAGCTATTCAGGTTCGAACTTGTACATTGTATTTATACAAATCGAGTTTATATTTTCATGGGTGATTTGAAATAAAGTTAAAAATACTTGATGTTTTTTGTCAGAGTGTTTGTTTAGAATTAATTGTTATTGTCAACCCAACACGTGGTAGAGCATTTATTTATATGTCAGCTATAGCTGGCCAAACGGCTGGACCAAATGGGCTGACATTTTTTAAAGAAACCCATGAGTAAGCCAAAAAAAATTAATATTTTTGTTAATTCAAATTTTTTATTCCACGGGCAACACCGGACACTTCAGCTAGTAAGAAATATAGAACGAGATATCTAATTTAATTTCTTTATGTTGTTTCTGCTCAATTGACGACTGCTTTTACAAGTTAGACCAGATATTGTATTTCTGGTGTTGATTCGCTCAATTGACAGCAGTTTTTTTTACTATAGGTAGAACCAGATTCCTAATTTTTGCTGTTGTTTCTAATCATTTGGCAACAGCTTTTTAATAGTTAGAACCAGATTCCTGATTTTTGCTGCTGTCGCTAATCATTCGGCAACAGCTTTTTACTAGTTAGAACCAGATTCCTAATTTTTGATGTTGTTTCTAATCATTCGGCAACAGTTTTTTTACTAGTTAGAACCAGATTCCTGATTTTTGCTGCTGTCGTTAATCATTCGACAACAGCTTTTTACTAGTTAGAACCAGATTCCTAATTTTTGCTGTTGTTTCTAATCATTCGGCAACAGTTTTTTACTAGTTAGAACCAGATTCGTGATTTTTGCTGCTGTCTCTAATCATTCGGCAACAGCTTTTTACTAGCTAAAACCAGATTCCTTATTGTTGCTGCTGTCTCTAATCATTCGGCAACATTTTTTTACTAGTTAGAACCAGATTCCTGATTTTTGTTGCTGTCTCTAATCATTTGGCAACATTACTAGTTAGAACCAGATTCCTGATTTTTGTTGCTGTCTCTAATCATTTGGCAACATTTTTTTACTAGTTAGAACCAGATTCCTGATTTTTGTTGCTGTCTCTAATCATTTGGCAACAGCTTTTTAATAGTTAGAACCAGATTCCTGATTTTTGCTGCTTTCTCTAATCATATGGCAACAGCTTTTTACAAGCTACACCAGATTCCTGATTTCTGCTTTTTATTCTGCTAAGTGCTCAAATGAGCCTACAATTAGTCCGATCCAGATTCAGCAGTTCTGCTGTTGTTTCTACTCAGTTGGCAAAAGCTTTTTCTCATCAACCGCAGCAAATACCCTTTAAACACAGCCTGAACAAAATATCTTTCTATGTCATGGCAATGGGTATTATTAAGTGCGAACAAGTTTTTGTCGGGATTTTTATTTATTGATCGAAAACAAACTGGATGATACCAATTTCAATGACATATATAGTTTTATTCAGTTTTACTCAAATTATTTAAAAGCAGGTCGATAAGTTACTTAATCACCCTGTTGTAGGGTGATTAAGTAACTTTAACATGCTACAATTTTCAAAGCAGGGTGAAAAAAAATACTTTTTCGTCCTGTTGAAGGGCGATAAAGTCACCAATCACCCTACAACGGGAAATATTAGGTGTGATAGATTCCCTTAAAATTGTACAAAATATTTAAGAAACATAGAGAACACGCTAGTGTCAACATCTTGTGGAGCCTCAATAAAGCCAACCAAAAATCTCTGACAGATAATTTTACAAAACATAATTTTTTGCTTAAAATTATATTTATTTTTTTACGATTTTAGCGTTTCCTGAATTCAGTGTTTCAAGACTGATATTTTGATATAAATCTTTAATCTATTTTGGTAATTTATTTTCGTTTCCATTGCAGTGATTTGGTCGACACAAAAAAAACTAAATTCTGAATGAGTTTGAAAATTGAAAAAAAGTATAACCCTAACTTGAGTGTAAAAATACAAAACCAAAAAACCGATGTATACCTTGAAATCATGATGATGGAGACCGTAGATAAGAGGGTTGAGAGCAGAGTTAGAGTAGCCCAACCAAATCACAAACAGATAAAGGTTGTGCGGGGTCTGGATATCCTGGATACAAACAGATAAAGGTTGTGCGGGGTCTGGATATCCTGTAAATACAAACAGATAAAGGTTGTGCGGGGTCTGGATATCCTGTAAATATAAACAGATAAGGGTTGTGCGGGGTCTGGATATCCTGTAAATATGAACAGATAAAGGTTTTGAGGGGTCTGGATATCCTGTAAATACAAACAATTAATTCCCTCCTTTAATTGGTTTGTAAAGTACATAGATCCAGACTGTTATTAACGTTGCAATAATTTTTAAACGGGGTTTTGAATTGTCGCAACGCCTTGGCTTTCTTTGATTTTACCTAACCAGGGCACTTGTACTATTTTGCAGCACTGAACATGAACATTTTAAACCCAAAAATCACTTGTTTTCACCGATTTAGTCCCAGCTCTCCTAACTAAACTTGAAAATTGAAAAAAAGGCTAGAAAACAGTAAAACTAAGTTGTTAAGATAAAACCAAGACCAATGCTGTCTAAAATGTTGATGACTAACTTTCAGATTTGTCTTTATCTAAGTGAATATAAAGTCCGTACAGTCGTCTCTGAAGTCTTATCCTTTGTGGTGCACTGTGATATTGATATGCTACATTTCTTGCATAAAACTTAGCCCATGACTGTACAGTACGACTGAATGCATGTACACTGTAGATCATTTTACACGGATCATTTTAAAAGTTTCAACTCACCAGAATATGAACAACGGGCATCCAGATGAAGAATGGCATCCAGCACACTAGAAAACCACCCATAATAAAACTCAAGCTGATAGCTGCCTTCGCCTCTTTAAACCGATCTCGCTTACGGCGTTGAGCCTGAGCTAGCAGAGAGGACTCACGGTCCAGTATCATATGACTGACACCTGGACGAGAACTGACATCTTCGTCTAGAGTTAACAAGGAACTCTCAGTATTGAGTATCACACTGCAGGTTGTGGCACCTGGCTCTTCCTAAATTTTATAAAGAAGATTTAAACCAAACCAAATTGTCGGTTATTCATTAATATCCTTTGAGTTAAAATGATACTTTGCTAGTTGCACCTTAAAGGGAGTGTTCGTGATAAATGAAAGGCTGATATCGAATTAAAAATTTTAAAAAATGTTAAAAAATATGTACGATATGAAAGCAGCAAATTGAACTCGACAATTGTAGGTTGTAATATCTGAATGGGTAATTTCATATTTGATTGAATTATTTGCTATCTGAGTGGAATAATGCCACTCCGTGAATTTGTAGGGGTCCAAGGCTCCTCGGTATGAGTCGTTTTAAACAATTTTCTCCCTATAGATGCAACGCAGATAGAAGTAAAATTAGTAGCGATTGATATCGTATTTAATTCGACTTCTACCAATACCCCCGTTCATATTTCGAGAAGACTCCCTTTAAAGTTTTTTTTCAGCTAAGGAACTGAGTTTTTGCCACAAACTCAAATTTTCTAATCCCTATATCTTTGCAACCTGATAGTGTAAACCTTTGATATTTCAAGCTTAAACTACTTGATCTAGCACAATTCCTATTTGGAAATATGAAAGGTTTACACCATCAGGTTGCCAAAATAAAGGGATTATAAAATCAGAGTTTTTGGCAAAAACTCAGTTCCTTTGAGAAGTCACATAAAATCTTAGGACTTAAAGTTTGATCAGTCTGACCTTTGGGAACCAGCAAGTCAGACTATTTGTGTTCCGAATCCAAAAAAATTTGTTTGTAAAGGATTTTGAAATTTGTGAATAAACCCTTTAAACTGAGGAGTTGATAAGACTATTATTGTAAACCTGGGATTCCTCAACTAGCTCGTGACTAGGTAAACTGATAGTCTGGTACAGGGTTGGGTTCATTAGTTCCAACTTCAGAGCCTCCATATACACTCTAAATCAGATAGATATAAGAATCCACAGTGGTTCAAAGATTGCAAGTACTCACGCAAAAATCCATGAGAATTTTGAAATCTAGATCTTGAAAACTAGTGTTTTAAAAATGTCCATATCTAAGGCCGCGAAGTCAGTGTGGCAAAATATGACTCAATATGACACTTTAAAATAGACTCAATCTTGAAAATTGGTGCAACTGTTTATAGCTATTTGGATCTATGTGTAGATAAATGTCTACATAAATCAGAGCCAGAACGGAGAACACAATTTCAATCAAAAGTCAATACTAAAAACTGTCAATCAACTTATATAAATTGTATTATTTCTCGATTCAAATGGAAAACGAAATTTAAGAGAAAAAAATACAGTTTACTAAGGAGAATGAAGAAAAGAGTACATTTTACCATGGATAATGGAGAAAAGAGCATAGCTTACCATGAGGGATGGAGAAAAGAGTACAGTATACCATTAAGGATGGAGAAAAACGTACAGTTTACTAGTAAAGAGGGAGAAAAAAGTACAGTTTACCATTAAGGATGCAGAAAAAAGCAAAATTTATTACGAAGGATGGAGAAAAAGGTACAATATACCATTAAGGATGAAGAAATAAGTACAGTATATCATTATTTATTAAGGATGGGGGGAAAAGCTAAATATATTATGAAGGATTGAACAAATTTATCCTAAAAAATGGAGAACTAGGAACATTTTCCATGGAGGATGGAGAAAGGGGTAGAGGTATGAATTCAAGATTTTAAAAAATTCCATTGAATAGAGCAATAAAATGCTTAAACAGGGTTTGTTTCTTTTCTCGAAGATTTCCTTTGCAAATTTAACTTTTATTTCTTTACATTTTTGATCTAAATTCCTGAAAAAATATTTTAGACGAATTTTCTTGTGAACTCTTTAAAGTATTTAATAAAAATTTTTATTGGAAGAGAGTGTTTAATAAATTTGCATATTAGCTTCATAATAACAGTTTTTGTTTAATTTGTTTTTTATCACTCTATTTTAATTTATAACAAAATTTGTTTTTGATGTTTTTAATTTTAGTTTTTGAAAGCTTTTTCTTTTAATTTCCGAAGTCCAAAGAGATTGTTGAGTTCAACAGCTGTATTCTGACGACACAAGTAACTTAGTTTTTGTGTCCTGCTAAATTATTAATAATAGTGATAATTTTACAATAAAGTGCTTATCTTACAGAGAAAAAAGTGCAATTTTATGTGTTTATTGTTTTCTATTTTTACACTTTTTTATACAATCTTGCAAAATATGTCAACTATAATTGTGAAAAATTTCGTTTTCCTTGTTATATTTGACACTTGTGACGTGGTGTATAATTGGTCCATTTCTCTGTTTGCCATGTACTTGATAATTTATTTGCTTGAGTCTCGATTAACTGCATTTGTCACAAAGTACAGTTTTAAGTATATTAGAGATATATCTTTTAATTCAAGAGTTTTTTAAATAATCTTCTATTTTTGATAAAAATATAATTGATAAATTTTGTTATAAATGTCTTCATAATATAGCTACACAGCCTACAGCTCTAAAAATATCATTAGCAAGAAGATATCAATTTGTTTAATGATTTAAATCAGAAATTAAGTAATTAAGAATTATAATGAAACTGAGTTCTTGTACAAACTCAAATTTTATGATCTCTATCTGTTTGTAACCTGATGGTGTGAACCTTTGATATTTCAAACTTCAAGACTTTTTGAAATAACAGAATTCACAGTTTGAAATACCAAAGGAATACGAAATCAGGTTGTACAGATATAGGGAATACGAAATCTGGTTGTACAGATATAGGGAATACGAAATCAGGTTGTACAGATATAGGGAATTAAAAATCAGATTTTGTGCGAAGAACTTAATTCTTTCCAGCTTCACTTAATCTCATTAAAAACGAAAATGTACTAATTTATTTATCTTACTCAATTATTCTTGTTTTTGTTCTAACCGCCTCCACAGGATAAATCTTTAATGTGGATGCCTTACACCTAGTTTATTATTAACTAGCTTGAGAACTTATAGGTACTCTCGCCGTTTACCCGCGCTTGATAGTAAATTACAATTTTAGCTATTTTCCCCTATAGCTTCTTTCCCCCCTCAATTTAGAATCTCAAACCAAGCTAAGAACATTCCGGTGTTTCTCCCAAATTCCCCAATCAAAGTTTCAGGTATATCAGTACAGGGGATCATGAGTTATCATCAGACACACAAACAAACAAGCAGAGAATACAAGTTTATAGAATGTAGAAGTAAAGTTGGTTAATGTTGGGATAATAATGAACTTAACTTAACTGCCGATATATTTTCCTGATGTATATGTACACATTGACCCCTGCTAGATATATTTACCTGATGTACATGTACAAAATGACCACTGCTGGATATATTTACCTGATGTATATGTACACAGTGACCCCTGCTGGATATATTTACCTGATGTACATGTACACAGTGACCCCTGCTGGATATATTTATCTGATGTACATGTACACCATGACCCCTGCTGGATAAATTTACCTGATGTATATGTACACAGTGACCCCTGCTTGATATATTTACCTGATGTACATGTACATCATGACCCCTGCTGGATATATTTACCTGATGTACATGTACACCATGACCCCTGCTGGATATATTTACCTGATGTACATGTACATCATGACCCCTGCTGGATATATTTACCTGATGTACATGTACACCATGACCCCTGCTGGATATATTTACCTAATGTATATGTACACAGTGACCCCTGCTGGATATATTTACCTCATGTATATGTACACAGTGACCCCTGCTGGAAATATTTACCTGATGTACTCGTACCTGGATATATTTACCTGATGTACATGTACACCATTACCCCTGCTGGATATATTTACCAGATGTACACGTATACCATGACCCCTGCTGGATATATTTACCTCATGTTCATGTACACCCTGACCCCTGCTGGATATATTTACCTCATGTATATGTACACCATGACCCCTGCTGGATATATTTACCTGATGTACACGTACACCATGACCCCTGCCGGAATCCAGAAAGATAGTCCTGCTGAGACTACGCTGTAAATTTTGTTGACCTAAAAAATATTAAACATAACCAAAAAGTTTATCAAGCACAATAAGTGGCAACAGAGAAATGGACCAATTAAACACGACGTCACAAGTGTCAAATATAACAAGGAAAACAAAATTTTTTCACATTAGTTGATATGTTTATCAAGATTAAATAAAAAAGTGTAAAAACAGAAAATAAAGAACACATAAAATTGCACTTATTTTACTGTAAGATAAGTATTAACAAATTTGTCGGACACAAAAACTGAAGTGACACATGTAACGTCAGAATACAGCTGTACTCAGAGTAATATTCTACCTTGCCATCTATTGTACTGGAATCTATTTGAATATAACAGTGTATCTGTTTAGGGGGGTAGGGGGTAATTTCAAATATAAAAAAAATATGAAAAAATTAAGAAACATACAGTAAACATAAAAATATTTGTTGATTTCTTATAGTGCATAAGTGGTCTGTCTATAAGAAAGATAGAACGTTTTCAGTATTCCAAAATGTGGTCTACCTTAATTCTTAGTGCTTGTAAAATAATTTTATGCATATAAACTAGGCTCTACAAGAGTCAGAGGAGATGTATTTCATAATAGCTGAAGTGCTCGGCGTTGCCTGTGGAATTTTAGAAAAACTGTAAGAAAATTCTGATTTTGAAAAAAAAATTTAATTTTGAAAGAAAAAAATTTATTTTGTTTGACAGAAAAAATTTCGAATTCAACAAAAAAGTTTTTAAAAAAATTATATCCTATGTTACCCCCTGCATTTTGACACTACAATATCTCATTGTTGAAAAATATTAAAATTAACTGTCCACTCAATACCGTACAAATAAATGTACTTAGGATTAAACCCACTGTACTCTATGATACCAACTCAGTCATAAGGAAACATTTTTCGACAAATTTCACTGTACAGTATAAACCTAGCCAGGCAAAATTAGGAGAGTTATGCCCGCCCCCTGGGTACACAAGGATTCCCTCAAAAATGTCAGCCAATTTGGTTCAGCCGTTTGTCAAGCAATGGCATTACATATATATATAAATATATAAATACATATATAAGCGAAGAGCTTTATTAGACAGTGATTTCAAAATTAAATTATCGAAAAAGGAACTGTATACTGTAGACAACAAAATAAAATATTCGAATCACTATATCTTTGCAACTTGATGTTGTAAACTTATGACATTTCAAACTTGGTTTATTTGAAATAGTAGAATTCATAGTTGGAAATAACTAGGGCCTAAGCCATTGGGTTGCTTAGAAATAAGGATTAGAGAACCAGAGAAAGTGGCAAAGACTCAATTCGTTTGCTGTTATTATCATATTTTTTTAGGTTTTACTCTAAAAAATCATATCAAACAAATAATTTTAACAAAATATTTAATTTTATGTTTTGCGCTTAATTATAAGATTTTTAATAAATCTGCAACCAACCTTAAAACTGCATTCCTCAGGACTACTCAGTGACATCCCTGTATTTGGATCTGTATAATGAACCCCGCAGAATATAAAGATAAAGCCGATAAAGATTCCGCTAAACCAGGAGGTGAGGATTAGGATCCCGCTCCTCCAGACAGTCATTCGAGTCTACACAAACTTTATTAATCCAAACACCCTGTACCTGCAGGTGTCTCATGTATATTTAATATCCTGTATAATGCAAGGAAATTTATTTCAGAGGTGTACTGTCTCTGGGCGGTAATGTAAACACAAGACGGATGTCGAAGCCGGACATGGGAACCATCTTTCACATAAAAAATCAATGAATTATTCTGGTCATAGGAAACTATTATGTGAATTATCAAAATTATCAAAATTCAATGCTTTTAACCTCATCGGATACTAAACGAACACTGAGGCATCTATTCTTGTTTACAAATTCCGACCAGAGAGAACTGGTTTCAATATGTACGCAAAATATACGCAACTGCAATTAACTTTCCTTGCATTAGAACCTTGGTATAATTTGTGTCTCATGTATATTTGAACACCCTGTACCTGGTGTCTCATGTATATTTGATATCCTGAATACTTTGTGTCTCATGTATATTCATTATCCTGTATACCTTGTGTCTCATGTATATTTAACATCCTGAATACCTTGTGTCTCATGTATATTTGATATCCTGTATACCTTGTGTCTCATGTATTTTTGAACACCCTATAAACCTGGTGTCTCATGTATATTTAACATTCTGAATACTTTGTGTCTCATGTATATTTAACATCCTGAATACCTTATGTCTCCTGTATATTTAATAACGTGTATACCTTGTGTCTCATGTATATTTAACATCCTGAATACCTTTTGTCTCCTGTATATTTAATATCCTGCATACCTTGTGTCTCATGTATATTTAACATCCTGAATACCTTGTGTCTCCTGTATATTTAACATCCTGTATACCTTGTGTCTCCTGTATATTTAATAACTTGTATACCTTGTGTCTCATGTATATTTAACATCCTGAATACCTTGTGTCTCCTGTATATTTAATAACTTGTATACCTTGTGTCTCATGTATATTTGAACAACCTGTTAACCTGGTGTCTCATGTATAGTTTAACACCCTGTAAACCTGATATAGAAGAGGTTCCTTGACAATTGCGTAGAATCTGTCAATACTGACAGCGCACAGATGTAGAATAGAGATTGTACAGAACGTGACATCCACAGCGTTGTAAACCTTTAACATAAACATTTTCAAATATTTTGAATATTCCATTAGTGCGCTGGTTTCATTGGTATTGTCAAAGGTATTAATTGTCAGATTTGATGATAAATAAAGTTTAAGGCACAAAAAAGAAGGTTTTGAGAAAAATCATTTAGGTGATAAATTTTTTAAACTTTAGTTGATTTTTTTTATTTTTTTACCATAATGTAAGGTCAAAAAAATATTTTAATATTGAAAAATTAACAAATTGACGGTATTCATTGATGCCCATATTTAAAAAAAAACATTAAAAAATCATGCGCCCTAAAGAATTGTTTTAATTCTTATTTCGTTAATTGCTGAATAAGTTTTTATTTTATTTTTTACTTAATCTTATTAATGCTCTATACTTACACTTTAGAAATTTTAGATTTATCAAATGATGTAAAAGCTTTTCCTTTCTATTATAATCTATACATATTATGGTATAGGCTCATGCAGGTTTAACAGTTCGGTCCTTTCTATTATAATCTATACATATTATGGTATAGGCTCATGCAGGTTTAACAGTTCGGTCCTTTCTATTATAATCTATACATATTATGGTATAGGATCATGCAGGTTTAACAGTTCGGTCCTTATCCCAGCGATACAGTGGGACGGAGGAAGGAGAACGGATTTGGTAAAAATTTAAGATTTAACAAAATGTCATCGGTTGGAGTGATAAAATATAAAGGTTAATGGTACTAAGATATTACAAAGTCTAGTTTAAGAGGATTACCTGGCACCAGAAGAATCCAAGAGGCCATCTACCAATTAATTCATCAACAGCGCTGGGAATCATCACGAAGGTTGTCACCTGTAAAAATGTGGAATAATTTGACTGTAGAGTTTTCTATTATAAAATGTTTATATATGTATAAGAAATTCAAATCCCCTGATTAAAGAAAATAAAAAGATAAATTATAACAAGACATCGAAAGTAAACAAAAAGAATCGAGTCTTTGCCACAAACTCTGCTATTCTAATCCCTATATCTTTAGAATCCAATGTTGTAGACCTTAGATATTTAAAATTATGAATTCCGTTGGATCAAATAATCTAAGTTTAAAATATCAAAGGTTTAAACCATCAGATAGCAGAGATATGGGGAGGGTCAGGAAAGTCAGGAATAAGAAATGTAATATAATTCAATTCAATTTAAATTATATATTTCTGAAGGAAACATAAGCATAACAGTTTTAACGATACCAAATATAACATCATATAATTGCTCTTTCAGCAGGAGAGCTCTATAGCTCGGAGCTGTTTGAGCTGAACCCCCTTGTATCTAAATAAACTATAAAACAATCGAATTGGCAACACTATGGGGACGGAAGGGTTCAAGTACACAATGCGGATCAGCACGGCAGAGGCGACCAGGCAGGGGTTTACAGACGGCTTTAACCACAGGGCATCAACACAATTTAATTATAAATAAAAAATAAAAATAAGTTTTCTAGAAAAGTACAAACCTCTAGATAGATCTGCTAATAGACCCCAACTCCGTCTCTTATTAATATTAAAAAAGAAGAATTATAAAGACGCATACAACGTTGAATTAAACTAAGATAAAATAAATAAAGAACATGAGAAAGGAATAAACTCTTTATCTCCTGGTCTTCAAAATAACATCCGACTATAATCAAAAGAACTCTAAGCCTCCCTTTTTGTAAAAGGAGGCCCAGTTACCCAGGAGGCCAATTTGCTATTTGTCTTGTTGCTCCCATAATGATTCGAGAGAATTCTTTTATTTAAAAAGAAATACGGTAAACTAGGTGTCCGTTGAGATCCAGTTCACCTATTTTTTATTCGGGTTTTGTTGAAAAATATATTTCAAAAGTTAGAATAAAGCCTTCCCCGCTATTATTGACGAGTTTGAATTAGAGATATGACTGATAATATGTCCATAAAGAAAGGAAGAAATTTGTTGTAGTTAGTTTAACGTGGGAAAAAATCATTTTAACAACTATTTAATTATTTAAATAGAATAAAATTAGAATAAACACTAATTAAATAGACAGAAATATTTTTAAATATTAACAAATAATACAGAAAATTTAATGAGATAAAAACGAACAAACCTTTGAACAATGTGGATTTAAAATCTTCATTAATCTCTGATCCTCCGGTAAAATTCTGTTTAAGGAAGGTGTATATTTTCTCCAAATCTTTATAATTCTAAAACAAAACACGTGTTTTTAAGGGACAGTAACGTAGTTATCATGTGACCCTCCATGCTGAGAGGACAATGCTTGATTTACAACGGCACCCATGAAAGCCTTTGTGTGTTCATCGAGCACAGAGATATGTGTGTGTAAACTTATCGAAACCCGCTTGTATTCAGCTGAAAACTCCTGTATATGCTGTGTTGAGTACAAACTGTACGTAGCGGACACTTGAATTCGAAGCTGATTACAAGTTGGTTTCGATAAGTTTAGACATACATTTCTTTTTACTCGACTAAAGACCAAAATTTTTAAGGGTATCGTTGGTAATTGGGCCTTGCCCTCTTTGCATGAAGGGTCATTTAAAATTACAATTACAGTTCTTTTAAAGAACGTTTATATTTTCTCCAAATCTTCAAAAAAAGAGTTTAGACACTACTGTAGTACAAAAATAGTTGTTTCATATATATTCTGAATTTCCTAAACCTTGAGACAAAAAGGTTACGCCTGTTAATGACGATTTATCTATACTACAAACAGATTTTTTTATTCTTTCAATCTATATTTTCTCAACTAAAAAAATAACAGGAAATAGGTAAGCAAACATTTTATGATTTTTAGTTTATTTTTTTAATTTCGTGTACAATTTTAAAAATGTTTATGTTCACATTAAATGGACTGTACACGGACATGTAATTGCAAGTGACCCTCCACTTTTAAAGTGGCATTTCTCATAAGGTACCGGATAAATTTACTACTTTCTTAATCAAAACGTCTACAGTCCCTTTAATGTGTTTGTATCAACGTCCACAGTCCCTTTAACGTGTTTGTGTCTACGTCCACAGTCTCTTTAACATGTTTGTGTCTTTGTCCACAGTCTCTTGAACGTTTTTGTGTCTACGTCCACAGTCCCTTTAATGTGTTTGTATCAACGTCCACAGTATCTTTAACGTTTTTGTGTCTACGTCCAGAGTCCATTTAACGTTTTAGTGTCTACGTCCACAGTCGATTTAATGTGTTTGTGTCTACGTCCACAGTCTCTTTAACATTTTTGTGTCTTTGTCCACAGTCTTTTTAACGTGTTTGTGTCTACGTACACAGTATCTTTAACGTGTTTGTGTCTACGTCCACAGTCTTTTTAAAGTGTTTGTGTCTACATCCACAGTCCCTTTAACGTTTTAGTGTCTACGTCCACAGTCTTTTTAACGTGTTTGTGTCTACATCCACAGTCCCTTTAACGTTTGTGTGTCTACGTTCAAAGTCCCATTAACGTGTTTGTGTCTACGTCCACAGTATCTTTAACGTGCTTGTGTCTATGTCCACAGTCTCTTTAACATGTTTGTGTCTACGTCCACAGTCTCTTTAACGTGTTTGTGTCTACGTCCACAGTTTCTTTAACGTTTTAGTTTCTACGTTCACAGTCTCTTTAACGTGTTTGTGTCTACGTCCACAGTCTCTTTCACGTGTTTGTGTCTACGTCCACAGTCTCTTTAACGCATGAATGTGTCTACGTCCACAGTATCTTTAACGTTGTTGTGTCTACGTTCACAGTCCCTTTAACGTGTTTGTGTCTACGTCCACAGTTTCTTTAACGTTTTAGTTTCTACGTTCACAGTCTCTTAACGTGTTTGTGTCTACGTCCAAAGACTCTTTAACGTTGTTGTGTCTACGTCCACAGTCCCTTTAACGTTTTTGTGTCTATGTCCACAGTCTCTTTAACGTTTTTGTGTCAGAATATTGAAAAGTTACCTCAACATCATTGAAAAGACTGGCAAGCTCTCCCTCCTCTAGCTTTTTATGAGACGCGATGGTTAAAGTACTAATATATGTTATATGTTATATGTTTATATGAAATACTTGCTCAAGTACCAGGTGTTGGCCATGTTATTGGAGAATAAAAATATAGCCTAAGTTGTCCCCCGGATACCCATGGGTTCCCTAAAAAAATCAGCTTATTTGGTCCTGCCGTTTGGCCAGCTATAGCGAACATATAAATATATATATATATATATTTATGTATTTATATATATATTAATAAATATAAATGAGCGAAGAGCTTTATCATATACTAGCTGAAATGTCCGGCGTTGCCCGTGAAATAACAAAATCGTGGTTAAAAAAATTGATTTTTGAAGAAAAAAATTTGATTTCTGAGAAAGAAATTCGATTTTTTTAGCCTATGTTACTCCCCGGGCACCCATGGGTTTCCTTAAACAAATTTTAGGCCATTCAGTCCCGCCGTTTGGCCAGCATAGCTAACATACAAAGAAATATATATGAGCGAAGATAATTATTTTATAGATATAGAAAACATAGAAATATATTTGTTTCTTGAGTTATAAAACCCTTAGACGTTTATTATAAATTTCTCTGTTATTTCCATTTCTTATTAATATACAATTACAGAAGAGAAGTTTCTGTTTTTATAACTAATAAACATATCTGAGATATTTGTTATGGAATGTCCGCTAAAGAATAGGGAATGAGAGATATTTCCAATATAAGTTTTAAAACCAAGGCTATGGACTGGAAACATAAAGACAAAAATGAAAATATCTATCGATCATCCGATTGTTTCATAAATGATCGTACTGCATTGTTTCAAAAAGTTACAAAAATTTGAAATGCAGTACGCATATATCTGTTTAAAGGGACAGGCCGGCTATGTAAGGTAGTTAAACTGAGTAAGCAGTGTTGTGGACAAATTCTGTAGGATTCATTCGAAACATATAAAACTTTTTAAAGATCTGTAAATCCTTTATCTTGTTTGAGGATGATTTTCAGGCAGTGCCTAGGCAACCTAGGGGAGTTGGCCTATGACTTTCAAACGTGGATGCAGCATGCCTTATTATTAGCATTTAAAAAGAGTCTCAAATTTTGGGGACCTTACTATTTATCTTTTAAAAGTTAACACAAAAAATATGCCCTATTTGAATATTATCATTTATGCGCACATAGTTATTTTTATATCCGCACATACATCGGTTCACATACCTTATTTTGTTTGTCTATTTAGAAGTAAATAAATGTTTTAACCCAAATTTTTTATCAAATCTGGGTTATCTTTGATTTTTATCTAATTTGGGTTATCTTTGATTTTTATCTAATTTTGGTTATTATGATTTTCTGAAGACATGGGGATTCTTAAGTGTTTTTTTGAGCCTTGAGACCTTAGCTCGTGAAATGAAAATCTTAGCTTTTAAACTAAAAACTCTGAAAATTCAAAGAGAAATCATACAATATTTTTTATCACACTTAACGGTCATAAGGAAACAAAATATGAAGAAACTTATTTTACAGAACTTAAGGAAATATACGCTTTGTGCAACATTGCTATTTTACATGGTAACTCGTTTGTAGTCCAATTTGGATCTGTAGGTCATTGAGAAACGTAAACGTTTTATCATAATTACGCGCGCACATTAAACAAATTATTATGAAGGCGCACTTTACTCTATATACTTTGCCCGTATGTGAATTCATGAAACGCGGAAGGATTTATATATTTATAACAAAATAAAAAACTGTGGTTATTTATAAAACTAAATAAAAGATCCAATAGTAAACATTTTCTAGTTTAGTTCAAGCAGTCAAATCACTTTTTTAAAGAAAATGTAGATAATAATTAGTATTTACATATCTATCTA